GACGCGGCTCGGCTTTGTTTGTAACGGAGATAGAAATAGCGCCGAGATGCGATGATTAAACAACCTTGCCTTGGATTTGTTTGAGCCTACGGGGAGATTATATGATTATGACTACGTAGTATAGCATAACCTCGGAACCTTGGCGAGGCTGTACCCAGGGTATCCCGTAATAGACATTCCCAATATCGTAGGAATGAGAGAAGATGAGATGCGGAGGCATGATGATGTATCGATGTGTAAGAGATAAGAGTGGGAGGGTTTCTCTGTTAGTGTCACCGCCCCTTTTCTACATATGAGCCGCGTTCTTGGTAAATTGGAGCAATTCTCTCCGGCCCCGATGGCAGCAGCGCAAACGAAATGATAGTCTACGTATGTAACGTATGTATTGGAATGTATTGTACTATACCTGCTTATCCTGGTCAGATACCCTGTTACCCTTACAATGTACATATCAATCTCATCGCATAATATAGTGTATATACTCTCCAAGATCCACATTCTTCTGACTTTTAGCGTTTGGCTATTGTTGACATCTTCTCGAATTAAGATGAATTAATACAACTTATTGCTATGTACATACCCCCCAGTATCCGTACGACATTGGGGGATAGAGAAGTAAGAGTAGCAATCCAGAGAGAACCTTGCTGTGGTTCGTAGGGCGATGGACATTACATACATACATACTATACCTCATATCGAGGCGGTCGACAGCAACGTTGAGCTTGTTCAAGACAGGCTGTAACATGACTATCGTACTATGCAGAACTCAGTCTAGCGGCGAGCGGCATCTGACAGAATGAGAGCATGATCCCAAGGGTGATCTGAGAGCTTACAGGCATAACACGTGTAGTATTTACCCACCCATTAAGCTTAGGAAGTTGTCCGCGTAGGGCAGAACTATGTATACCTCTCTACAACGCTGTCTCCCGCTACTGTTGCATCTCGCACATTTTGTCTAGTTCGTAGGCGGAACTCTTCGTCAGCGTCGCTTTTAGAAGATATGAGCTGAAAATCCTGCTCCAAACCGGACGACCGAAAAGTGGCCAACTGCCGATGGATAATTTTTCTTTTCAGTATGTATTGGCTGCACGTTAACCCGACAGCTTGGATCCGAGGTCTTAGAGCTTACGCTGGCTGACATGAGACTGCACGATGGCGGTCAAGAGGGGGGAAAAGCGGCATTGTCATACCATACGACGTACATATAATACATACATGCATACATACACACATACAGACATAGGCACTTACATATCAATAACCTAGCAATTATCGGCAGCCACGATATACGCAAGGATTTGGTAATCTAACCCGCGCCCTGAACAAGCTAGGATTCTTTATACATACGCCATCCCATGTACATGGGAAGATCGTGTATGTACATAATGCAAAACCGGTACTCGACCCGCATGAACTGGATCGAATTGCCTTTGTACATAAGCCAATGGCTAGCTCTGGGTTACGAGGCACGGACGCCAAGTATGATAGGGCCATTCAAAAGTTCCTAAGAAGAAACGGGGCCGGGGTAAGGGGGGGGCTACAAGCTGCGCTATGCAACGGTAAGTGGTATGAGGTACACGTGTCAACCCTGACCGATCCGCAAAATGTTTCAAGGAATGGGCTTGTAGTGTATCTGTTCAGCGCGGCATACTGAACCTAGCTTAGGTATGTTATTAGCTATGTAGGTAAGCCTTAAGGTAGGCATGTACAAGGGATTCTACAGGAGCACAACAGAGATAGATAGGTATAGTAGTTTGGGCGGGTTTCGACGGGCGGGAAATACCCTCTTATGATGGCATACTATTAAGTTAAATGTCACCCTGAAATAGTATACAGTTTTATTTCACCGATTTACATTTCCTACGTGGTATGTCGCCTTAACTGCATACCGCATGTCGATCTGGAGGATATTCAGATAGTACATAGGTATGTGAATACATACGTGGTAACGGGATGCTTGTGCTTGGAATGAAAGACTTGTTTACTTAATCCAGTAACGCTCTATGTACTCCGGCTTATCCGCGACAACTGCTCCTGTAAATAACAAGGGTATCTCTCTCTTATTATGGAATCAATAAATGTAAAAAGAAAAGGAGCCGACGGGGTGCCGCGCGAGTACATGCCTTCCATTACATATGTAGAATGCTATGGGGTAGGTAGATATGTAATTACTATGTGTATCCCGAGGGTAGATAGAACACACGGCCCGTTAGTTCAACCTTGGCACCGGTCCGAAATGAACACAAATACTAGCCCGCTTCATCTCGTCGCCCTAAACCTAAGATATCTAAAGGGCCCCGGTCCTGACCCCTGTAGCTAGAGGGTATTCCATTCCGTTCCTAGGTCACGGGGCTAGCGCCATGACCATCGTACGTATGAGGCACGTTGCCGGAGAGGCTATAGCCAAATGTAGTAAATTCCGGGGCGTCGGCGGTAGCGAAGTTGAAAAAGTCCCATTACAGATTACTATCGTCTAAATTAGCTTGGGGTTAACGATAGGGGCCTTTGGTGATAGATGCATTGAAACAACGTGGTGCCTGTTTTTGGCCTATGCGATGTCGATGCTGTAATAAGAATAGTTCTAGTGACATCAGCAGCGAATCTCCGATGATGTCCGAGTTACCTCAGGGGTTTACCTGCGATGAGACCCGAGCCCTCGGAGTTATACTATACCTCGCGTTGATCCAGACCTATGAAATATCGTTGATGCTTGGAATGAATTATACTAAGTAGACTAAAAATACCAGCTTTGATAACTCTATGAATATGAAGTCTTTGCCTACGTAGTTGATATAGATGCCTGCTAGGCAATGCTCGTTATCATCATGCTAAGGGGTAAACATCGACATGACAGCCTTGCCAATGCTTAGGAATCCTGCTCCCTACGTCTACATAATCAATTTAGGAATAGATCGTACGTTGATATAGCCTATTATTATTCAACTGTACCTGGTTGACCTAGGTATGTATATCCTCAAGTGCCAGTAAACTACAGTACATTTCTCATTTAGAACTTGAGTGGTTGATCCTTTTGTACCTATTCCCAACGTGGCATATATTAGGTCTTCTCGGGGTATTGGTTTGTTACTATAAATGGGGTATATAGGTACCTACAGTAGTTTACTGACACTTGGGGACAGTCTCATATTAGCATACTGTATGACGCCAAAAGCTTGTTCGTTGATGGGGCTCTTGGCCGGCTAGCCAGCTGTGCCTCTCTTAGCTAACCAAGTTGATAGTATGAACCTATGAAAAGTTCACCAAAAAGTCTCCGGCGGAGGAATAGGGCTGTTGAATGTATCCGAGAAAGAAGAGCATCTTGCCATAGGGATATAGACAACCCGCTCAGGGCTTCACGCAGTCCCAGACACGGTTTTGTGCTTCTGGCAGCTGGTAAAGTCAACCTGCTCACTTCCCGAGTGATTGTAGGACTGGACTCGCTAATGTTACTGGACCGTTATATATGACAGGGGAAGCTTAGAAGTCCTACACCAGCGAAACATTCTAGGACTTCGCATTAAGGGGCAATGTTGTCGCTTGTCTCGTGGTCGTTCCTCCGACTATGTTGAGGAACGACGACGTTACGCAAAGGCAACGTAGCTTGAGGTATCGAATCGGATGAAACGCAGGTGCCAAGAGGAGCGCCAGTGATTAAAAGAGTAGGCCATTAGCAAGGCTTCGACGTCTGGTAAAGGAGGCGGATCGTCGCCTCCCACGCTGTGTTGGGGAGTTCCAGTGGCGGTACCGCTTAAGAACCATCCCTTGCGTCGTTTTAAGCGCAGGAGGCAACCGCAGCAGCCGGAAAGCTGCCAATCAGTTACGAAGGAAAGCTGGTACGTAAGGGAAACATACAGGCATCCTCGCCGGTCACCCTGCATTCTGCTTCAGAGACGCGCATCCGCAGTCTTCGCTTAAAGTACTCAGACTTCCCTGTACATTGCGGATCCGCACTTCGTCTAGAGCTAATATTAGCTACATGGATAAGCCCCCAGTTACTCGTGTGCCATCTAGCCTTACCTCAACTACTGCGGCAGCCATGAAGGGAGCAGGTGGACAATCGGAGGTGTAGAAATGGAGCCTCCCGAGGCCGTGGTTCTAAGACACCACTACAACAAAAGCCTCAACCTCGTGATGGGTCTTCTGGGAGTAATATGACGTACTCATGTCGACCGCGTGATACAAAGTTCTGAAATACTACGCGGCGTATGGTAAGAAGCATGAGTCTACGCCGCTACATAGGCTACACACTGTGCAGCTTGTAGTTGTATTGTACAATCAGCGACGTGGAGGGAGAAGGTAACATTAATGCCTGTTTACTTTCTTCGTGCTCCAACAGCACGCCGCTTTTCTCGGGCGCGAATAGATCTAGAAGCGTAGAAGCGAAGAGGGGGCATAAATTATAATGGTGTTGGCGCCTCGAGATATTACACTTACAATGAGATTATCGATAAGCTGTCAGCCCTACAGGAGTACATTTGTACTATCGATTACCTAAAAGAAGTGCTTACCTAAGGAACGTAGCTGCTAGTATTCCGTACTATGTATAAGAAATTACATAAGGTGCTTGCATGCCGACGTTGGCACGTGTCCTTAGCCCGGTCCTAGTCAAGTGGAATCCCGATAATGCTGAAGAAGTACCAGAAGCGCTATCGTTTAGCCTAATTTCCAATGACTTGATTCTGTTAGTGTAACTTGTAACTCAGGGTTATCGTGAATTTCAAATCATTAATGACAGCATAGAGATGGGATCAGATCATCATATCCCCAACATTCGACCTTTGCGTTGTTTAATTTGTTTAATTTGTTTAATTTGGCTTCAAGTTTGAAGCAATAGTCCCAACCTTAAACACTTTAATATCTTGTATCTCTTTTCTCTGCTGGTCTCCGACAAACGGTGGGAAAGTCTTGCGAGTTAGTCCCTCGCTCTGGCGGTCTGGTCTTTCTTTCAAGGTACACATGCCTTCTTCTGCACTCTCCTGCCGGTGATGCCCTTGCTAGGCATGGGCAGTTGGATGTTGGCCATCTCGCACAGCTCAACGAATCATGGTCTCCCTCGCCCACACTCCAGGTTAATCCTGCTATTCGTGTTGTTGCTTTCATGGCTGGGTTTGGTAGAGTCGATGCGCCCCGGTCGCATCGCCGAGTTGAGGCGCGACACGGTCGATATGTTCTATCACGGATTCGATAATTATATGAACATTGCGTTTCCCGAAGACGAGGTATGGACATTTTAATACCGAGTATAAATCCATGGCGCAAACTTGTGCATTAGCTTATAATTCTTATAATTTATAGTTACGGCCCGTGTCTTGTACTCCCTTAACTCGAGATCCCCTCAATCCTAGGAACATCGCGCTTAATGATGTCCTCGGCAACTACTCCCTGACCCTGATCGACAGCCTTTCCTCCCTCGCAATCCTTGCCTCTGCGCCGCCCGAAGATGGAGATACAGGTCCTAAAGCCCTACGCGATTTTCAAGATGGCGTTGCTGCGTTAGTTGCGCAGTACGGTGATGGGCGGCCCGGTCCGTCCGGCCAGGGCGCCCGCGCTCGTGGTTTTGATGTCGATAGCAAGGTCCAAGTCTTCGAGACTGTGATAAGGGGTGTTGGTGGACTGCTTAGTGCCCACCTCTTTGCTGTTGGTGACTTGCCTATTTCTGGGTATGAGCCACGGAGACCAACCGATGATGATGACGACCTGGAGAAACATCCTATCCCCTGGCCTAACGGGTTCAAATATGACGGACAGCTGGTACGACTTTCCCTCGACCTCGCTCAGCGCTTGCTTCCGGCTTTCTATACTCAGACCGGGTTACCCTATCCACGTGTTAATCTCCGCCATGGGATACCGTTCTATGTGAATTCGCCGCTGCATAACAACGCTAATGTGGACCCTAAACCACCTGAAGACTCACCAGAAATCACCGAAACCTGTAGTGCTGGGGCAGGCAGTTTGGTGCTTGAGTTTACCGTGTTGAGCCGCCTCACTGGAGACCCAAGGTTCGAGCAAGCAGCTAAGAGGGCGTTCTGGGCCGTCTGGTCAAGAAGAAGCAATATTGGGCTGATTGGAGCTGGTGTAGATGCCGAAGAAGGACATTGGATTGGGGGTTTCTCTGGGATTGGTGCGGGCATTGATAGCTTCTTCGAATATGCTCTCAAGACACATATCCTGCTGTCAGGCCATGAGCTCCCTAATCGGACAATACCGCAGGTTCCTGATGGGGACTGGCTCGACCCTAATCAAATCTACAACCCCCTTTCAGATGAGGATAACTCCCCTGATTCTTTCTTATCAGCGTGGCACCATGCACATGCTGCTATTAAACGGCATCTTTATTCAGGGTTGCATCATCCGCACTACGTAAATGCGCACATGTCGACTGGCTCGCCACAAGCATATTGGATAGATAGTCTAGGTGCATATTACTCCGGCCTATTAGCGCTCGCCGGGGAGCTCGACGAAGCCATCGAGACGCATCTCGTATACTCAGCTCTATGGACTCGATATTCTGCCCTTCCGGAGCGATGGTCCGTCCGTGATGGCAATGTCGAGGGCGGTCTCGGATGGTGGCCCGGCCGACCAGAATTCATCGAATCCACCTACCACCTATATCGTGCTACTCAAGACCCCTGGTACCTTTACGTGGGCGAAATGGTCTTAAAAGATATCAACAGGCGATGTTGGACGAAATGTGGGTGGTCTGGCTTGCAGGATGTGCGCACTGGGGAGAAGAGCGATCGAATGGAGAGTTTCTTTCTTGGGGAAACTGCCAAGTACCTATATCTACTCTTTGACCCAGATCATCCCCTAAACAAGCTTGATGCTTCGTATGTGTTTACTACAGAGGGGCATCCCTTGATTATCCCCCGAAAGAGGAAAACCAATCGCCAAGTCCACAAGTCATCAGAAAGGGCTATTCAGAGCTACTACGATGCCCATTTTACCAATACGTGTCCTCGCCCGCCCGTTCTCCCCCCATTATCCGGCTCTGCTACTGCCGCGAGGCCAGACCTTTACAATGCTGCGACCCTAATTCGACTTCATCAAGTGCCTAACATTCACGGTGGGTCGAAAGACCCAGTCGCCAAATTGGGCGGTTCTGAAGCACAGACAAGGCTTTCAGAGAAGCCAATAGAAAACTACACCTACTTCCCTTGGACATTGCCGAGTTACATGCTTCCAACCGACGGAATCTGCGCCGTGTCAAAGCAATCTCAGACGACAGTAATCGAATTCGCTTCCAATGGCCAACAAACTATGGGCAGCGCTTTCAATATCATGTTCGGCGGGCATAACCTCGTCCGCATGGGGAGCGATGGTATTGCGATCAATAGTCTCACTGGACTAAAGATAGCTTTGCTCGTAGAAGATCCCCCAGAGACGTCTGAGCGAGCCTGGAGGATCTACAGCATTGGAAACTTAGCATTGGGACGAGATGAAAAGGTTCTAATTTCTCGCGATGTCCTTGAACATATGTCGGATCCTCTATTCCACCGTGTTCGCGACTCCGTCCTCGTTGACGTTATTTTGCAGCTTGAACCTCCACAACCTCCAGGAATTCATAATGCAACATCTGCAGATGGGGAAGCCACCCTCGAGACTGAACCTGCTATCGAGCTCGATGGTGAGACTACCGTCGACAGTCCCAATTTGTTCAGCTCTTTTCTGCAACAGATTACGTCTGCTCTGCGGGAACCCGTCGCTACTTTCAGGCCTGAACCAGTACAGAAGCCAGATTACAAGTATGTCGAGCTACCCGGGATTACACCAGTAGGGGTGGGTGCTGCTCCCCTACCCGACATTCGCGAAGCTCCCAACCCGAATACGATTCCGTACATCGAGTCCCTATCCTGGCAACGCATCTTCTTCGCCGACCAGGCCTGCGGTGGTAAGCTCCCCGACGAAGCGCCGAGAGCACACCAAGTAATTGTGATGCGACGGGGCGGATGCTCGTTCTCGGAAAAGCTGGCCAACATACCGTCGTTTGCGCCGAACCGCAGCGCGCTCCAGCTCGTGGTCATCGTGTCGGACGATAAAGATGCGCTGGACGAAAACAAGGACGACCCGTGGGGCTTCAACTTCATCCGACCGCTGCTCGACGAGCCGCAGCGCACGCCCTCGGGATTCCCCCGACACCATCCCATCGCCATGCTGATGACGGGAGGTGGGCAGGAGGCGTACGAGTTGTTACAAAAGACTAGGAGTTTAGGTCTGCGGAGGAGATACCACGTTGAGAGCCAGGGGCTCAAGATTAGCAATATCGTTGTGGTTTGAGTAGCAAATAGAAAGTGAAGAGGGTAGATAGATGGGCACGAAGTTACGATGATTGGACAGGAAAAAGCATGGTGTTGTTTGAGAGGGTGGTATATAAAATGAAACTAGGTAGTGTAAATATTCGAATGGACATAGAGCATAGCGATGAGAATTTACAGGGCGATGTTAAAATTTGATTGTTCTAGTTGTATATTGCATACTACTGCTCCGAGCTAGTTTTAGGCTGAGTTGGGTAAAGACGGGCACTCCTAAGTCGAAGTCTTGAGCTATCATAGCTGCCAGGTGGTGACATTATATTCATCACGCAAGTCCGGGAACTAAAATAACAAAGGCTCGACGCATGTAAAATGAAAGATGACATGTCCGCTAGCTCGAAGTATTTTAATTCCAAGCCAGCTTAAGAAGCCAGTTGGGCAATAGCTACATCAGGTAGTCTAAGCAAGATAGTATAGTCGACTTTTATCCTCATGTCGGAGCCATCAGATACGAACTGTAAAAAATGAGGTTCAAGAACTTGAAGCTGTAGAGGCCAATATTTTATTAATATTATTAAAACGTACTAGAGATAAAGGCACAGTAATCCATACAATAAAAAATAAAGAGAGACTTACCCAAAAAGATGCGGTACAAGAGGAATCTAACCTCCTATGATGGACTCGCGGGGAATCGAACCCCGGACCACTCCCATGCTAAGGGAGTATTATACCACTAAACCACAAGCCCCCACGATGTTTTTGATCAGATGCTCTGATCCGATTCGTGAAAATTAATTTGTTGAGAGAAGTTATATTGGTTGTGGTGGTTGGGTTAGTTTAGGTAGGTGCACATGCCCTAATTATGTACCAAGTGGAGCCCACGCTTAGCGGCTGTCCAAAGCTAGGAAGTACCTACCCATGTACCTAAGCTGCTAAGATAAGCCTTCTTTAAGCTAGCAGACTGGTCTAGCTTTAAAAAGATGCTTATACGAAGTAGGTATTAATACTAACTAGACCCTGATGAGCTGCAGCATTCTTACCTACGTTGGTTGTCCCATTGCGGAGTTTTAGACACAGAAGTACACATTCTTACCACCTTGTTGGCATTTCTATCCTACTCCAAAAGATGTCATGAGTACCTACACTTGATCAACCCCGCTGATACGTGTATTTATCGTATGTTAAAGGTGTAGTTATCAAGCGAACTTGTCGAAGTACGAGATAGTTAGTTATGATGTAAGAACAGGATTTACTCGGCTTGATTCCGAGATACTGACTCTTGCGAAGTCATGTGCTGCAGGGAGAGTCTAACGTGTGAAAATACGAAGAGGGTATTATTAATAAATAGTGTGGTAGCACACACATTCGCTTATTCGCAATGAGTTACGACAGAAGAGATGATGTACGAATGTTTACATATAATTCCCTCAGACCAGTAAGACCCAGCGAATTACCAAGGTCTTATCAGTCTACATAGCAAGCTAACCTACCTGAAACAAGAGCCTCTATCAGACAGAAATCAGCTCCGCGCTCGCTAGAATTTACCAATTAGACACCTTCGAGCTGCAGCTAGCAGCATCTGATAAGGCTTAACGAGAATTCCCAGCCTTCGCGACGCTATACGGGTTAGCTAGCGTCGCCGAGCACTAGTGTAAATCATGTCAGCTGGGACGACGATACGAGTCATAAATGTGTTCATCCCGCACGAGATACTGCTCTGCGCGCCCAAAGCGTCCGAGCTAAGATGAGCTAGCATTCGTAAGTGTTGAAGGAATAGGATAGGCACCGCCTCTCGAAATATAAGGTATGGGGAACGAAAGATTTAGATGCCTGCTAGTTACGCCTTAGCCGCGTCTAATTTGACGCTTTTACGCCGAGTGCTTGGGACTATGCTTCGATATGGTATAGTAACTTGCATCTCAATTTATCAACTGCAACTTTTACTGACGGTTTAAGAAAAGATTACCATGGCAAATGAGAATTTGGCCGTAGCTACACGTGGTGCCGATAAAGTGTATGAACTCTACAGGAGCTTCCATATAGCTGCTGGCGTATTGGAGCTTTCAGTCCGGGACCATGGGCCGATTTGAATGTTGACGATGCAAGATACGTCAAAAATAGCTGCGATTAGGAAGACGTGATATACGTTGTAAGTTGCACTATCAGAGTGTAGCCGCATCTGTTGTCAGTGCAGATACGAGAAGATAAGCACAAACGGCCCGCGCTATTCGCTTGGCCTCGGCCGATTCCCGCGGGATGCATCCACCATGTTGCTCGGACAATAATCATCCTATCACTCACTCTCACTGTCTCACATACTTCATGCTCTAGTTATTGAGCTTAGTTAGGTAGGTAGTCTTCGTGATGAATCAATACCTATTTAGACGGCATGTGATGTTGAACAATAGTAATATCAATTCAGAGGAATTCAGCCTCATAGTCGTATTATAAACTGTAAACTATCAAGATGCCACTCGATATCAGCCTTTTCTAACTGTTGGGGGGTATTCTCGAAGATAGTATGTAACGTCGTCTCTTCGCGTCGAGGACCCGTATCGTATGTAACGCCAATGATAAACTCCACCATATGCAATGCAGACGCTTCCATCTCACCCTATCGGCCAAAGGCGTGTGTTGATTGGAAGCCGATAAATTCCAATCTCACAAAGAAACATTTTTGGGCGCCGAGAGCCCCACACCGAACGCCAGTTAACCATGGTAATGACCATGATAATGCTAGGACCACTAGAAAAAAAAAAAACGTCGATATCATGCTGGGATTTTGATGCCGACGAGTGTTTGCTTGTGTTTGCTTTAGGAAAAACATCAATTCTCGTTTCGTCACCGCCTTTCGTTGTAGCGGATTGCCGAGCTGTCTTTCTCCTGTGCACGTCCCATCGCGATAACGACTGTGTTCTTACAGACTCCGTAACTACAACATTCTTCTGCCGGCATCGCTCCGCTAAGGATCGCATCTCGTTTTGACTAGATAACTGTTAGTAGTGGTATAATATTGGTGTACTCCTTTACACAAACTCACGTCTGGACACATGATGGGCGAGCCGTGAACTAGAGCCCCTAATAACGAGAAAGCCGTTATAACAGGTAATAATATGTTGAAGTGCATCTTTGATGATTTCGCTACGCCGTAACCCAGAGATATCCAACAGTTGCAGAAAGAGACTGAAAGTTGGCGGGTTGACTCTATTTGATAATTTAAGCTCGAAGGATCAATGTAACTTAGGTAGATGGAAGAATCCTCCTTGGCGATCTTTTAAGATGAGACGTAGCAAGTGAGCGTTAAGTAACATGGATTATAAGAGAGAAGGATCAGACAGGACGATAGATTCACAATAAATAGATGAGAGGCAGTACTCCGTAATATAATAAATAAGAAAACAATGGATGGATACCCGCTAAACTTAGACTGGAGACTGGAACCAAGAACTCGGGGATATGCAGCAGCTCTTTCGCCCTATGCACGCCACAGTAACGGCTTACATGTGTGAGCTGAAAGGTCGATGGATTACTATACGTACTGCTCTCAGATGTGACGCGGCTGAAGATGCTGAGTGATCCAGAGCCTGTGGCTGTGATTCCATTACCGGGGGGACATGACGAAAGGTGACTTAAACCCTCCCGGAAAACTAACAGTTTGCGGACGGACCTGTCAGACACGCAAACGGGGCTGCTGACAAGGAATCGTCATCTACGTGCCAACGACTCCGAGTGGAAGACACGAAAATCGAGTGGCTGAAATTGATAATTTTTTTCGTTGAGGCTCCCCGGGCTTTGGCCATCTTGCCAAGACTATTAGACAGTTTTGACAGACTCGTACCGGTAACCTAGTTCGATAAATGCGAACTATGTACTAATAAAATCGCTAGGGGAGATACGAGAGTTGAGCAGGCGAGGGTTAGGTAATAGCCTTTTACCTCGTTTCTACGGGAAGAGGGAAGGTCGTAAAATTAACAGCGGTGCTTATGGAATGGAAGAACGTTTCGAGAAAGAAAAAATAGCAACATACGAACGGGGTTAAACCGCATTCGGATGGTGAGACTCCACCCAGGAGCGGGATGGGAGGGAATGGCCGAAGCTAAGAGTTACCATAAAGGGACTTGCAAGGTTTGATAAATAGTTTACCAATAATTGAATATTTTAAATGGTTATTCAATAGTTATATGTAATTAAATGTTAATATTATTATACGTTGGTAAATATATATATTTAATTAGTTTTAGTCGTTTAAACCGTGTTAACGTTTAAAATATTTTTAATGTTTACATTTTTTAACGTTAAAGACTTTTTTAACGTTTAAGCTTAATACGTACCTTACATATTAAAAAAAAAGAAAAGGTATATTAATTGAAATTACCAGGCAAATATGTATTATAATGTCTTGTAATTTATTTGAATAAATCGTAAGCCGTAAGTCGTAAGCCGTAAGCCGTAATACCGTGATTTAATTGTAAAAGTAAATAGTAATTAATAAAAAACATAATTTTATTCCAAATAATAATCCGTATGCGAAATAGTAAAAACAGTAATATGCGATATAAGAATAATTTCTTTTTTGTATATAATATATTTTATATACCTTATATATTAATAGTTTATTTATAATTTATATTTTTTAAACGTATAAAAGTTTTTAACGTTTATACTTTTTAACGTTTAAAATATTTTTAACGTTTATATTTTTTAACGTTAATATATAATAACGTTTAAATAATTTTAAATATTTAAATTAATTTAATTATTTATATTTATTAATTTTTATTTAAATATTTATATTTATATAAATATTAAAAGTTATTAATTATTATTTAAATATTAATTAAAGGTTTATTAAATTTTATAAATTTTAATATGGTATTAAAACTATTATATTAAAATTTATTAAATTTAATAAACTTTTAATTAATATTTAATTAATAATTAATGATTTTTAACGTTTATAAAAATGCGGATATTTAAATAAAAGTTAATAAATATAAGCAATTAAATTAATTTAAATATTTAAAATTATTTAAATATTATAATATATTAATATTAAAAAATATAAACGTTAAAAATATTTTAAACGTTAAAAAATATAAACGTTAAAAATTTTTATACGTTTAAAAGATATAAATTATGAATAAACTATTGATATATAAGGTATATGACATAAAAATATATATATATTTTTATATCTTATATTTTACATCTTATATTAAAAGGTAATATTGCTATTATATACTTGCATTTAAAATAAAATTATGGTTTTTATTATTGTTTACTTTTACAATTAAATCATGGTATTACGGTTTATTTAAATAAACTACAAGGCATTACAGTATTAACCAAGTAATTTCAATTAATATGTCTTTCTTTCCTTTTTAATCTGTAAGGTACGTACCTGTCTTTAATGTTAAAAAGTTTTTAACGTTAAAAAATTTTAACGTTAAAAAATGTAAATATTGAAAATATTTTAAATGTTAATACGGTTTAAACGATTAAAACTGATTAAATATATATATTTATTAACATATGGTAATATCAGCGTTTAGTTATATATAACTATTAAATAACCATTAATTATATTCAACTATTGGTAAACTGTTTATTAAACCCTGCAAGTCCTTTTATGGTACCTAATGTTCGCTCCGAAAAAGCTTGGGCCCGACCACCCAGGCTATTGGAATTTAGATACGATAAATACAGTCTATGTATTCCGTAGTGTGTATTATGTAATCGAAGATACGACGTGAATATCCACTATCGCATGTAACATTGCTTCTAAAGTCAACTAAATCGAACTTTCCATCTCCATGCTTACTACTTGACTTATAGAAATCTCAATTAACAGCATCGCAAACTCTAGTAGTAGTAAGTTGCAAATGAGACGGTAACGGCGAATAGTTATATAACCACCTAGAATCAGCTGTCTAGAATTATCCTTCCTCACCGAGAATTCCACCGAATACTACATGTGTAGAAGCGGTTGATAAACTTCACCCTCCCTCTCCGTGTCGACTTACTAAAATACTTCTATTTATATACCTCTGAGCGAATAACGCACGGGTATACTACCGAAAGAGATATTTTGGGAGGAGATATGAGAGTGCGTGAAAAGTCATCGTTGTTTACTGGACTGGCTCCTACATGGCTTTAGGAGAGCTGAGCCAAAGTCTTTCTTATACTCGACGTAAGAAGGTAGGGACGATAGTGATAGTAAGGTAAGACACGGTAAGTACTCGCTTAGAATTTTAGGTTAAGTCTGGAGAAGGCGCTGTGTTGCTCTCTAGATACCCAGGTAGGTTCCCAGTGCCTTTACTCTACTGCTTCCTAAGCTACCAGGATCAACTCATCAATATCATCTCAAGCTTATCAAGTTCTTTCGCTTGCTCCGCTCTCAAAAAGCCCGGGGTATCATTCTCATATTAGTGTACTAATGGTTTGATCGAATAGTTAAACAACAACAGACTGAGACACGATGGAAGACGAGCATGATACTGAATATTTCTACCGTAGCAAGCCTCGGCGCTTATTTAATCTTCCCCTTGACATGTTACCGCCTGAGCCGATCCTTCCGTCTACCTGGTTCGAGCTCCCGCCGGGCTGGCGCCATTGGAAACCAGCTATTGTTCAATGTCCGGCAGTGCCCATACCATCTCGTTGGACTGCCTCTAACAATTATGGCCGCGAGAGTGATCAACTCATGATTTGTGATGTGAGTTTCGTACCATCATTCGCTTCTTGTTAGCTACCTAGTTAACCCCGTTTTAGCTGGCAAGTATCGAACGGACATTTCCATATCCATTTAGGAGGTATACTACGGAGCAAATCGTGAAAATACCCGATCATATCCTCTCCACGATTATCACCAACTGGCACCGTTCTCCGGTCTTGTGCTTTCAGAAAACAACGCGAAACTGTATATCACGCATCTCCCCTGACCTGGTAGCCAAGTAGGGCCCAGGTGTCTCTCAGGCCGAGGCGGACATGATGTGGTTTATCCAGGGGATAAATGGACTGAGAGACCACGTCCCCAAGGTCCACAAGGTCTTCCGCGACCTTCGCACGAAGCATATCTTCATCATCATGGACTACATTGAGGGCTCTAACCTATACAAGATCTGGCCTCATCTCTCAACTCGCAGGCAGCATAGCATATCCATACGAATCGCTTCATTAATCAAGCTAATGCAAAAAAATACCTCCCCACATTCCGGTCCGCTAGGACTGGGCCGCCCCCAGGTGTTTATGCACCCACAACTCACCCCATCAGTTGTTTTTGGCAGGTGGCGATACGAGGCTTATCTCGGACTCTTAGTTGACATGGTCAATGCCCTACGAGGACCATTGGTCATCCCACTTAGTAGGGTAGCGGTAAATGAACTCGTCCTGGGCAACATGCAACTGGATCCAGGCAGCTTTATCCGCGACAAGAAGGGCGAGCTCTGGATAGTGGGCTGGGGCAAGAGTGGCTTTTACGCGCCCGAGGCCGAGATGGCGCTTTGCGTCTACCTCATGCCTAGGCAATTCCACTTGATCCTATCCATACTCGGCAGAGACTGGCGGGATAGACGTGGCACGATAATTGCGTTGGCGGCGGTGGCCAGATACCTCGATAAAGGCACGTTATACTGGGCGTAGTCTTCCACTAGGTTGGTAAGGAGGAAGCAGAGGCATAATCGCGAGTATATTGCAAACGGAAGCATATTAAAAGTAGCAATCGCTACCAAAAACGTCTCAATAACACTAACTTAACGTTAATCACCCAATATCCTCGGATTTCGACGTGGACCTAAGCAGTTGAATTAGACGACGTCCTGTTTGCCGCCCGGGCCAGGGATGCTCCTTGTCCGGGGGGCGGATAGCGGCTTTAGCAGAATATGTAATATGTTCAGACGTAGCGGTCTGGCAGTAGAGCGCGGCATATATACCTAATATAGCGCGGCGGTTCGGAAAGATCCAGGCCTGCTGTCACACGGGAGAGCGGGGAGGAGGGTGGAGGGTGGTACGTCCCGCGAGGATGGGCTGCGTGTTTCCGCCGTCTTGCAACGTGGACGAAACACGAGCTTTCCGGATTCCGAGATGGTACGGACTAGGTAATGCGGATATGCCTTAGCAATGGCTTCTGGCATATGTCGACGTATTGAATAAGTCTGTGCTCGTTGGTGCTTAGTGTTTATGGCTTTTCACATATTTTATACTATGGATGGTATAGAGCTGAGCAGGGATTAACCATGATATTTTAGGCTATAGCTAATGCTGCCGCCTCACCTCCTTCGTTCAACATGCTGCCGTGGTCGGCCGGGTCTATGTATTTATTCCTACATACGACTTGACTTTGGTTTTTTCGTCTCACGTGTATTTGTTTGGCGTGCAGGATGCGGTAATCTACTTCAGACGGTGGGAATAATCTCACGTTTGTTTCAAGGCATCTGTACGTCAACGATAGCAACAATAGCCAATGGTATGAAGGATCTCTTGTGGCTTTTACTACCCATTTATAGGATTCGAGTCAATCTGTGGGGGGGAGGTTTTTCAGCTGAGCCCAATACCGGATGCCAAGGATGGGGTTGCGAATAAGCTTTTGGTCCGTGGATCTTCGGGCTGCAGATCTAATATTAAACTAGGTACGTAAATAATACTGTGCTGGTGTTATGTAATGCTAAATTATCCGAGGCTTTGAAGGCGGCTGATTCCGCTTTAGTATTCTCTCCTCGGAGTTGAGCGAGGGGCTTCTTTTGTAAAGTTACTGGCCTGCCTATTCGAGTTATATCTTTCAGGCATGTAGGTCGCCGACGAAGCTGGGTTTAGGCTAGCCTAGGTATGTAGAGATAACGGGTTGGTTGGTTGATTTATTGATTGATTGATAACGAGAAGCCTCGGGATGTGTATGTACTGTGGATTGCGACTTATCGTCCAATCATGTCATGGCATGGCGGTCTGCGGTGTGGGCGGTCAGGATGTCTCATTGGGTTTGAGCTGGGACTTGTTGATCCTTGATCCTGGTAGCTTTAGCTTTCTTCAGCTGCAATTGCCTTTGCTTTTATTCGGCCCTGATCCTGATTTGGATGGGTAGAATGTTGATGCTCGATTAGATAGATAGATAGATAAATGTAGCTCTTGGAGAATTGTAATGAGGAAGAAGGGTACGTTATTAATATGTGAAGCTGGCTTTAGATGGGAGACTATTGCCAAGATTTCGAGATGGGCTTTCATGACGCGCATGTAATAGTTATCGTTGGAGCTCTAGTACTATGTATTTCATGGCATACGAGTAGTTGCTTTGTCTCTTCAAACCGGCTCTCTCTTAGACTAATACTATCGAATTGCTAGAGTTTACCGTGTGAACCGTCGTCTTACCCTGAACCTCTTTAGCTCTTACTTCTGAACCCATCATTGTCTTCCCCACGATCTAGGTGACATTTCCTCACTCGGAAGGAGAGAGAAGTTATAGTTCAATACTGATTTAATAGATCTTTTTCGTTGCTCTTATAGGTTTTTGTTAGTGTTCGCTGCGATAATATTCCAAATGTCTACACTACATCTGCCTGTTGTCTTGTATACTCACAATGAAGCTACATACATATCTACATACATACCTAGGTAAAGAATTCGATTTTGTTTACCACATCCTATGACTACCTCTTAACCTGATAGTGAATGTCCACCCTCTTATCGCCGTAACCCACGTCCCGCGCCATGTGTCAGGGTTTGCAGATCTCGTCGTCCCTGTCGACACCTGCCTCTTATCTCGATAGGCAACCAATAACACCCTCAGGTGTCCATAGCTGCCGATTTCATTCATTTACTATTTTTTCTTTTACCTTGCGTCGTCCTTTTTTTTATTTTTAGGTACACAAATTCCTGACGTACCTTAAGGTACACACACACACACACACATACATACAGCTCAGCTGCATGCCCAGTCTACTCATCCTGCAAAGCTAGCCTTACCCTGTGTCACCGGTGGCATATTCTAGCTTCTCGCAAAGACGCCGCCCTAATCCGTCCGGAACTATTTTATCATTCTCCTCGTTTGGCTGATCGGCGTGTTCCGATCTTTTCCATATTCTTTGGTTCAACTTAACTTAAACCCTTTCGTCTGTCTTCTGGGTACCTGTCGCCGGCTACAATGCAGAGTTGTCCTAGAGAAGGACGGGAATTAACTGATGACAGTGCTGCAGAGCATTGAAAGCTACAGCTACAGCTACAGCTACAACTACAACTACCTACATAGGTACTTAAACCGACAACCTGCAGCAAACTCTAAGTCTAAGTGGGCAGATTAATTAATCTTTATTTCCGCGCCTCGCTACTGACGCGGCGGGATTGAACCTACTACTGCAGCTATTAGCTGACTTACACCCGGGTGGCCAATCATCGTTCCTCCGCTTACCAGTAGTATTTCGTCTCTCCCAGCTCCCCCCCCCTTTTCGGACGCGCAAAATGTCGCTGAACAGAAATATGAGGGCCGACGACGTCGAATCCGAGCAGAAGGCTAAGGGTCCTGATATCGACTATGGCTTCGGTTACGTTAGCGACGGTAATGCCGTTCACGGCCGGGAACTCACCGCGGGCGAGTCCGTGTATGCTAAGCTCCAGCGCTTCGCGGGTAAATTTGGCGTGGAGCAGAGAGGCATTGAGCGTGTTCCTAGTGATGAGAGGACGGATTCGAGTATGACCCAGGTCGGCACACTGGTATGCTATCTACAGACCCCATTGGCTTTTTCTTACTGACATGGTATAGTGGTTCTCGGCCAACATGGTCGTCTCATCGTTTGCGATTGGCGCTCTTGCGCGTCCCGTGTTTAATCTAGGGTTTGTGGACAGCGCCTTGACCATCATATTCATCAACCTCCTGGGTATCATGCCGGTCTGCTTCTTCTCGACCTTTGGGCCCCGATTTGGTTTGCGACAGATGGTGCTGTCTCGGTTCTACTTTGGCTTTTACGGTGTCAAGTTAAGTAAGTTTACAGAGAAAATAAATACCCCTGAAACTTATATCAGAAACCTCCTTTTTTTTCTAACTATGCCACTCTACAGTTGCCATATTCAATATCCTGGCGTGTATCGGTTGGTCTGCAGTCAATGTCATAGTCGGCGCACAGTTCTTCCACGCAGTTAACGGAGACGTACCTGGCTGGGCTGGCATCCTGGTTATCTCCTTTGCAACACTAGCCATCTGCACATTCGGCTACAAAATCGTCCACGCCTACGAGAAGTGGTCCTGGATCCCGGTATTCGTCATGTTCATGATCGTATTAGGTACCTTTGCCCACTCGGGCGAATTCAACAGCTTACTTCCGCTCGAGACTGGACCCAGTGAAGCAGGTGGCATACTATCTTTTGCGGCGTCGGTATATGGTTTTGCTACGGGGTGGACATCCTACGCTGCCGATTATACAGTATACCAACCAGTGAACCGTTCCCGGAGATCTATTTTCCTATGGACCTTCGCCGGCTTGTTCGTTGCTCTGTGTTTCACCGAGCTTCTCGGTGCTGCTGTAGCCACGGCTATGGCTACGAACGAAACCTATGTGGAAGCCTATGAGGACGCACATATCGGCGGCCTACTAGCTCAAGTCCTCGTACCACGTCTCGGCCGCTTCGGCGAGTTCTGCGTCGTGATGCTAGGCCTCTCCATCATTGGGAACAACTGCCCGAACGCATACTCGGTCTCATTGTCGCTACAAGTATTATCAGAGAAGACGCAGCGTGTACCGCGCTTCATCTGGACTTTACTCGGCACGGCCGTATACATCGCCATTGCAATCCCGGGGTACGACCACTTCGAAGATACGCTCGAGAGTTTCATGCTTATCATTGGTTACTGGTTGGCCATTTACGAGGGCGTCTCCCTGACGGAGCACTTCGTTTTCCGGCGCGGCTCTTTCACCCGGTATAACCCTGAGGACTACGCCAACCCCTCCCGCTTGCCCCCCGGCTTCGCCGCTATCACGGCATTTTGTGTAGGTATTGGCGGTGCCGTGCTAGGCATGGCGCAGCAGTGGTTCACGGGTCCCATAGGCAAGTTGTGTGGTGCTGCACCGTTCGGCGGCGACGCAGGCTTCGAGCTGGCATTTGGGTTTGCGGCAGTAAGCTATCTTGGCCTTAGGGCGATCGAGAAGGCGTACTTTGGCAGGTAGAGGGGAACATAGGTACATATTAGATAGGTAGACATTGGTACACCAGACTTTAGGGTTGCGGCTTGAGTAGTTATTTACCAATGGGGTTTTGTGTGTGCTATTTTGCCACACATACCTATCTAGATGGAGAGGTGTAAAGAGTGTATAGTACGATGTAAGATGGTGGTGGGTGTAACGAGATAAGATCAGTTGGGATGCCGTTAGCATATATTTGTTCGATACTACGTTGGAATGACGAGAAGTGATGAAGACTTTGTAGACTTTCGGACGTGCTCTTGTTGATGTACTTGATCGGCTTGTTTTCTGTATAAGGGACTATTGATGATCTTGGGATGATTTATTGTGATACATAGGATGATACATATGATGAGTTGTTGATGTCTCTGGGTAGTAGTATATGGCTACCTAGGTACTAATCTATTTAATTACTGAAAATAAAATCTAGCAAGTAGAAATTTTGGTTGTCTAATCTGTTTGTAGCATGTACTATACTTCTCAAAGTATCAAAGTTGAATACTGTTTGACAATGTAACGTTCCAAGAGATTTGCTTCACCCTAGATCTTCTATAACTTATCCTTAAAAGGTAAACTATTACTATAAACATGGCAATCAAATAGTCAATCATAAGGATCTTGATGTCCAGCGCACTTATATCGGACGGATAGTAAATTTATTTGGTAATCGCCCTTGGCGCAATTATGTTATTAAGCCAGAGAATCATTATAATTCTGATTCCTTTACGACCCTACGCAACAAAAGCAATTGGTATGTGTCCCCTATACTCCGGAGCAGTCCTGAACGCCAGTGGACATGCTCAGCGCGGGAACATTGCCAATGGGAGAATGACCCAGACCGTGGCTGCCTACATAACTCCGAACTCGCGTTTTCAATTATTCCCCTTAAACATAATCTTGGCTTGTAAGAAAATCAGGGCATCATTGTTGTAAACCCCCCGACGGCCCATCCTCACATCCTAGCATATCCTATCATGCCATCGTTGCCTAAACCTCAATGCCACGTCCGAAATATGCCGCTCGCTAGCTTAGATTTTATAGGTGAGAATCCTGCTTAGAAGGTTTCATGCTCCGCGACAACAACTCCTGCGACGCCAGCCATATTGCTTCCAGTTTAGATCCCTGCTCTATATGGTTTTCGAACGCCCATCTCGGGCCACCAGTACCATATTTTTTGACGGGTACGGGCGGGGGTCTAGGGGGACCAGGGGGGACCGCATGTGGTATCCCTGATGGAGCGGTGGAGGCCATATGGGAAATAGGAACTGGAGGCTGGAAACGCGGATGTATATTCTGCCGTGCCTTGGACGGGTCTCGGTCGGAATGTGCTGAATCAGGATTGTCCTTTCTATGAATTTTGCGCTGTTTTTTATCTGGGCTCGCGTCTACAGTCACCTTAGCCCCTTTCTGCCGCCACTGAAAATCCTGTTTGGAGGTGGGGAGCTCATCATGCTCCCCAAGTTGCTTCAGTAAATAAGAGATCTGTTCATCCACATTTGTATCTCCCTAGGAATAAAACTGTGACTTTTGAAAGCTCTCGGCAGAGATATCTCCTGCTTTACTAGTGACGACTGGTGGCTTGGGGGCTGCCTTCTCAAATGGCGCAGGTTCGCTCGGAGCTGCTTTGATGGCAGCGATGGGTTGACCAGGTCTCTTAGCCACTTCTAAGAATGTTGCAGGCAGATACCCGAGGCGTCCGTCCCGAGCTCGGCAGCGCCACCACTCGCTAGGATTGCCTAAAGGATCACTCTTGCTTAGGACTGCAATAAAATCGCCTTTCTTAACAGCGAGATCGACTCCCTGGGTAGCATTGCCGGCTTCAGGGGTAAAGTCGTAGAGGACACGGCAGAATTCAAGGTTGTTGGGATCCAGAGGCGCGTTCTGACCCGGGAACTCAAGCCGCTTACGCTCCTCTTGTTGAGCAAGCGATCGGATTATCTTGTTCATAACATAAGGCAAACCAAACGCGGCAAGGAGGAAGAAAATAAGGGGCTTCCGACTAGCTTTAGGTTGACCTCCAGGACCGGGTGGCACTTGACGCCCCTCAAAGCGGGCGAAAGCTGCCGGTGTGAGTGCCATAGCGTCAACAGGAGGTGGACGGCCAGTCAACTTCGCAAAAAGCGTGCGAAACCATCGCATGATGGTAAAAATACCGAGGGCCGATCCAAGGGTGTTGCGCAAGAGAGCAAACTGCTCAGCTACAGATATCATAGCTGTCACTTGGTTAGCGACTGGTTTATAACATATATCTCATAAAACTTGACTTACCAAAGAAGCTTGAATGGGTTGCCATATATGTGCTTTCAAGCATTTGTGCAAAGCCACCAAAGGCGCCAACAATCCCCTCTAGCAGCTGAAAGGTGGCCTGGGTGCTATCAGTAACACGGTTGGCCAGACTGCTGGGATTGTTCGGGTCGTTTGGCATCATGCCGGGCATTCCCCCGTACATCCCACCACCGTACATGCTGGGCATGCCACCATAGCCACCCATACTGCCATACATTCCACCACCGTAACCCCCATATCTATTATAGGGTGACGAGTACGGGCTATACGCAGCATTATACGGCGCCCGACTATAGGCCGATGCGTTTTGGTTCACGGTCGAGTTCAAGGAGTCAGGTCGGGGTGGAATGGCCGGCATGCCCGGAACAGGAGGTGCAGTAGTTGTTGACGATGGTGTATTGATAGCATTCTGTGTCGGTGTCGCTGCTGAAGCAACAGGATTGGCTAGAGGAAGTAAGTAACAGAAACAGTAAACAGGTAATGACATGTGAAGTTGAAATAACATTAAAACTTACCAGATGCTGTCGCGCCTGCGCGCTCCCAAGGCTTAGGCGGCGAAGCCATTGTAATTGAAGCTCCTTCAATTTATCACGATATTCCGAGATGCTATAGGAGACTACGTTGCGAACCGGCCGTTGCGACAAAGAGGGTTGAGAGTTGGAAGTTGACGGTTAAAGAATGAAAGATGAAAAGGTTAAAGGAAGGACCTCGGTATTTTGTCATGGAATACCCTGACAACCACCAACCACACACCAGCCGCACCTTCCTTCGGCTATGGTCAAAGCGGTAGCCGGTCCTTCGCACGTGATATCTTATTACTAAGTCCATATCTCTTTAGCATCTTCACCCAATCAGCCAATCAGGTTAGATTACAGACGTAACGCTTGGACCACATGTTTTAAAGTTGCACAACTTTTAGTAGTTGTTTGTTTGCCTTTTCATAGACTTCATGTCATTATCAACTATTACAAGTTCTATAAATTCCTACACTATCAAAAAAGTATAACTATATCGTCACTCCCTTCTTGCAAAGTCAAAAAGCTTTCGAGTTTGCTTCTTGACGCCACCCTCTATTCGGTAGTTGATCGGACTCTCAGTTCCGACAAAGATGAAGCCATCATATAAAGCACACTCGATGAAGGATCCAATCAGAGTAGCAAGCCATGGGCCGTAAAACCACCATCCTGTTTGAAAAACTTCCGGGCCTCGATAGCCTGCTGCCCAGGCTACGACTCTTGGGCCAAAGTCCGAAGCTGGATTTAGTGCTGATCCTATTGTGTACCCGAGAGTAAATTTCAGGGTAGTGACTAAGAGCCCAAGTACCTAAGTTTCCCGGTTAGCACCGTTGGTTAAAGACTATTTGTAAGAGAAAACGTGAGAGGATGTGATAGAATATTAGTTCATCATCACCCCGCCCTACTAACGGGGAACTACTTACCAAGGCGTGCATTCCCGCACCGGGAGGGTTGTTCTGATCGTCTCCCAGAGCGAAAACAGCAATCATCATAATTGCACTACCGACCATCTGATGAAAGAAAGCCGTACCAAGCGATACCCATTCCTGGGGACTCGAGAAGAAGGTTTTGGCTGTATTCGACATAGTAGGGTCGACGTATCTAATCGTATCTCTATAGATACCATAAGCCAAAGCCCCGGCAGCAATGCCGGCAACAAATTGCACAACCACGTAGACGAGGCATGACCGCCATGGGAAGCCGCGGAATAGAGATAAACTGATCGAAATAGCTGGGTTCATATGAGCACCGGATACACCACCGCCAAGGTAGATGCCAAACATCCAAGCAAAGCCCCACGCCCAGCATGAAGTCTCATAGGTGCCATATTTTACATCTTGGGTAGCAGAGAGGTTTACAGACAGGGTTGCCCCCAATCCCATAAATCCAGCTATTCCTGTCTGCGGGCCTAGTTAATTCGGGCAGCTTGAAAAGAGTGCTGAAAAAACATACCGCAAGAAACTCAGCCAATGGCTCAGGATGCTTAGCTCGTATACGGGCCCACCAGTTACGAAACTCATCTGGGTCCCTATCCCCTTCTTCCACGTCGTCATGTTCCCGCCGACCTAGCGGTTCACTGTCGATTCCATAATTGCGAAGGTCCTCTTTGTTACTTCTGTTAGCATCGTGCGTATCATTCGTGCGCTCTCTGTGAGTGGAATTTTCTTCTCCTGGCTGAGATTCGAAGACGGGTTGTCCGGCATCATTATATCTGTCACCATGAGTGACACCCGCAGCTGTCCTTCTAAACCCCGTGATCTCGCTCTCTGTCGTGCTTTCCTGCCTCTCAACATTTGGCCCGCCTGCACTATCAAAGTCGACCTCACCGAGTTCTGCTAGGTCTTCAGGAGATTTAGACACAGGCCTAGTAGGGACGTCAACTGGTTCCTTGGCCCAGCGGACTTTACGTGGCAAAGGCGCTCCGAGACTGAAAATTGGCTTCCTATTCTAAAAGAAGGCAATGGCGATTAAACTCTCGATTTTTGCAAATATTTACGAAATATGGAAGCCTTGGGTTGGCTATACTCCTAAACAGAGCATTTACTCCGCTGGTAACCGAGCGACCCAACGGAAGGATACCACTCACAGCTAAGCAAACCTTACCTTGAATTCGTGTGGGTACCGGTTCCTGTCTTTTCCTATTCTACAATAGTTGAGCAGGTAAGACACTTCTATCTTTACTCGCTATTCAAGCATCAGGGACACTAGTTCAGAGATGCGACCCGTAGAAAAACTCGGTAGCTTCAATGCTACAGGGCGATCTTCGATATCTATCAAACTCACCCAATAACACCTCGCCCGGATGAGATGCTCAGACTTGGCGTCCAATATTGCCTCTACTCGATATTCTACATTAAGAAAAAGTACGGAGATAATTTGCTATACTGTTACTGTGATGACATGGTGCCTAAATAGGGCTAACAACGACGAAAATAAAAACTCTTCTCATACGGCAGTTCACTCTGTATTCGAGTGACGTCGTTAGGATCTACCGGAGCCTACCCGCTTAACTGACAGCAGTTAAGCGCATATATCGCCGCTCCACCATTGGAGCCGCAATCGATCTACCAATTGCATTGGACAGCCTAGCATTGCCAACTGCTCTTTGCCCTACTACGCGCCATGATGACACGCTTCCCCAGTGCCGACACTCGGCTCGCCGTGGGGTTGTTTGGGGTTTCTAGCCCATTCGCTCGTTCCTAAGCTCCCGTGGTGTAGGCCAATACTGGTCGCTCTGATTATCACAAAGTCGTGGTCAGCTCTGCTAGTTTTTATCAAGCTACCTATTCCGTCAAGTTGTTTGCGCAAGACATTTGGTTTTACAGGTTGCCAAATACGAGAGGGACTTAAAATACCTGCCGGTCTTGTCTCGTCTTAATAGTCTATCTACCTCATGGATTGTGATGTTGAATACTGTGTAGATTAACTACTTTTAGGTCCGCCTCTAACATCGGAGTATAACTAAGTCACCCCTCGGAGATGCCGGGGCGAACGACCTAGCCCTACGAATGCCGCCCCTTAGTGTATATTTCTCCGGAGATGATCGATATTAATGAAGCGAATGGTCTTGCGCTAGCTATGACGTTCAATTTCATTTGGTAAGTCGAAGAAGTGTCTCTTTATTTTTATCCCAGGTAGGTAAGCCATCGAGTTTCAACACTTATATTGGCGTTCTGACATTTGTTGCCCCGAATGAATTTATAGGGGTGAATTTAGCCGCCGCTGTGAGGAGAGATACCTTGTCTTCGAGGTTAACTCAAAATTGTGTTACTTTAACCCCCATATTTATTTGGATGGGTTCTTAGAAGCCTATGGCCCCTTACTGAGGTTCATTGGCAAGGCTTCGGGGGTTTGGGGCATTTACACTATAAGGGTCGTTTACCACCCGACAATCCTTCGATCAGAATTATAGGTAGTATAGATTGCGCAACCTCCTTATTGCACCTAGTTGAATAACCATCATCTCTCATCTTAGAATAGAGCGACTAAGTAAACCGTCACTACACAGAAGTATATCTAATAACTAAGAACTTCACAATCTCCGAAATACCTAGGAATATAAACTTCCAACAGCTGATGAATCCCTGCAAACCTGGCACCCAAGTACCCATCTAGTCCCAAGAAAAGGAAAAAGAGGAAAGCAGTTTCACGACGCTGCATCGTATATCCTACCCCGAACTCACCTGCAGCACGCTCTATTATTACCCACGGAGCAATCCTGCGCAACGGCACGTGGCGGGGTCATCTCCAGAACTCCAGAACTTTGGTTTTCCATCCTCCTTCCCCCTCCTCTATGTACTTTACCCCTAACAGTGTCGCACGTAGATTGCTCGTGCGAAAATAGACGCCGTCGAACACACGATTCTAAAGCAGCGTGGAAAGGTGAAGGGGAAAGGGGGTAAATACCTATTATGCAAAATTATGATTTACAAAAGATTACCTGAATAAGTCCCCGTTTGTACAGATGGTTAGGTCTAATAGGCTATTAACTGTATGTTGTATATACATTAAAGGAACCTCTTAAGTACCTACCTAACCTAGACTATTACATATATCCTAATACAACACAAGATAAAGGTACAAGGTATACCATTAAAGTACCTATCGTCCAGGATGAAAATTACGGGTCTGTAATCGGGAAGTTGGTAAATTAAGCGAAATATCACGGAACACCAGATCTGTCTCGGGTTGTTCCCGAGACCACGCGGAGCCTCACGGTATCACGACAGGCCCGCGCAATCTTCTCAGCAGCAAACCTTCTTCCAACGCCAAAGCAATCTAGCCGACCCACCTCTAACATGTAGACAGTAGAGCTCCCCAAAATATCACATTTGGCCCACTTCACAACAACAGCAGCAACTTCACGCTTCAAGCAAACACTCCGGGACGAGGCGACACCCACTGAGGCTGTAGAATCATCAGATCAAAATATGCAAAAAGGGGAATATCGGGCGCAGAAAAACACATTGCACAACTGCTCCTATATCCATCGTAGAAACCACATAAAAAAGCAAGTCCAGAAGCAGACGTCAACCGTCGTCCCCAGACCATCACCCCTCCTTCCTTTCCTCCTTTCCTCCCCCCGTCACCCTCGTCTCTCGTGACTAAACCCCCCCGGAAACTTTTACGAGCCGAAGGTCATCAAGCTGAAGAGGTTGATATCGGGCTCGTCGTTGATCATATCCTCGACCTGGTCGGAGGTTAGGCTGGTACCGGTCATGTCGAAGTCGTCGTCGAGGACCTTGATAGAGGCGGTGGACGAGGCAGCCTGGAAGACGACGGCAACCTTAATGGTCTTATTGGTCGGGCGGTCGAAGTAGTGGGAGTCACCAGTGCCGGCGGCGAAGTGGAAAGTCGACTTGGCCTTGGTGTCACCGGAGCGGAGGACCTCGATGATATCGGCCTCACCACAACCACCCTGTTGGGGGCTCGAGTTGTCGCCAGACCAGCAGCTGCACTTGCTGTACTGGCCCGTTCGTGGAATGGCACCGTTCAGCAGCCAGTATGCGGGCATGTCCATGTTCCAGCCAGTCTGGCCGCTCAGGGGCATAGAGAACTCGGTAAGGAAGACCTTGTTAGCACCACTGAATCCCTCTGCACAGTTGTTAGCATCTAACCCGATAATACTCTATTTCAAGGGGCAACCGTACTGTAAGCAACAGAGCCAGGGCGAACGGCACCACAGCTGTCATCGCACTTTTCGTCAGAAGCGATAATGATTTCTTTGGTGTCATCAATACGGCAGTCCTTAAGGACGGTGGGGGAGGGAGCAGCCTTGGTGCCATCCTCGTTAGCGTAGGCCAAGCTAGCACCCCAGACACTACAAGCAAGTTAGTCGCCGAAACTTTCACTCGTGATTATTTCGCACTCACGTGTCCCAAGTACCAGAAATAGCCGGGTCACCAAAGTTACCGAGGAAAACAAGACCATCGGCTGTCTGGTCCTGAGAGTTGTAGTAGGCGGTACGTTGGAAGTCGCCAGCAGGAACGTCGACGGGGGCAGAACTAGACGCCGACGGAGCTGGCGCTTCGGAGCTGCTGTCGGATGCAGAGGCAACAGGGTAAGCAGCAGGGGTCTCCGTAGCTGCGGAAGCCGAAGCAGGGGCAGTGGTCTCGGCGCCACCACCGAAATAATTGTTCACCCACGACACTACCTGGCCATCGATCGTGGCGACGACCATATCTTCACGCTTATCGGCCTTGGCGTGTTCGTGGTGCTTCTTGTGAAGATGCTGGTGGCCATGGCGCTTGGAGTGAGGTCTCTGGACTTCTCGCTTGGACGCACTCGAAGAAGGGGTGAATACAGCGACAGTCTTCAGTTCGAGGGGACCTCGGAAGTGCAAAGTCAACTGCGCTTGCGTTAGAAGTGGGGGAATTTACCCACGAAAGAGGAATTGGTACTCACATCCTCGTCGAACGGGGCGATGGGACCAGAATAGTCCTTGTCCTGGAACGTGCATAGTCCACTGTTGTCCATCTGGGCGACGGCGCGGTACTTGCCAGCGATGTCGAGGCCACTGTACTTGACTTGCTTAACCGCATTAGGGCAGAAGAAGTTTCCGAACTCTTCAAAGGCATCGGTACAGAAGCCCGCGTTGACCGCCGAGGCCGTGGCCACGACGAGCGCGGTCGAGTACTTCATCGTGAGCGATCGAAAGGGAGTCCTTGATAATGATGTTTGCTCTTCCCGAATGTGAGACTATCCAAGGATATATGTTCTTTTGTGTAGAGATATTTCGCGTCTCTCGACCCGTTAATATTACTTTTATGTATATGTTGGGCTGCACCTTTCTCTCGAAAACTGGGCCGGAAGTACAACAGGCTTGAAGAGAACGTGGACAAGCAAACACCTAGAGAGGTAAGTTAAGAAGCGCTAAGTAGAACCTCCTCGGCTGACCTGAATTGAAATGTTTGTTTGTTAAGGAGCGACTTGGTGATAAATCACCGTTACAATGAATGACTCAGCGAATTGCTTCCGGGCAAAGAAAGGCAACGACAATGATTATTGAAGGTCAACAAGAGAGGAAGAAGGGAAGCAAAGTAGGTAACAAGTAGGAAAGGGGGTGGGTAAATGAGATTAAAGACTTCAGTCAGGAACTTGGGGCGACGTGGAGGGAGTGGGAATAGAATGTCGATTTCAAAGATAGACGCCACAAAAGGACAAGGATGTCACTGGCCAAGGATTTTGGTCGGCTCGTGCTGGCTGGTCTACATAGGAGCCAGGGGAGCATAGATGAAGATGATTGGATAAGTGACTGGGTCTAGAGTGTTGTACCTTGCAGTCTGCATGATTAAGTGACTTGCCCAACATAACGAATTTGACGTGGGATTGCATGTATCCCATCTATTTTCCCATCTATTCCCAGAAGGGGCCAAGATCAGGGGGATCTGCGGCTAAGCCAGGAACCATCAATAGGAACACACCACATGCCACATTGGGCGTGCACATTGGGCGTGCTGGGGCTTGGTCTGGTTTATTTCCTGTCAAGGCCTATTCTTTCCTGCGACCCCTTCATTCCATGGGTGATTTCCATGGGATAGGGGATGGTGATGGACCATGATGGACTACGAGAGGCCTGATCGTCGCAAAAGGCCACAACCATGCTGCCATGCTACCTTGGGTAACTTGGCAAATACCCACTCGCAGGCAATAATCGTGGTCGTAGCTATTGCGCCATGATAGGACGGTCCTTTATTAACCCCAGTTTCTGCTCATTTCGTCAGTACCAAGCTTTTTAGCGCATGCGTTTCGATCGGCCAGATCAGGACATCGACTCGCTGATACACTAACGTTGATAGATTGGTTGAACGACAGGAAGCAGAGGATCCAAGCGAGCAAATTTGTATTGGTCATTTGAATACACAAAGGAGAAGTTAATTAAGGCCCAGATAGGATCGTATGTTAAGATAGTATCTTCTTCCGTCTTGGCATGCGACGAGTTTGTGCGACAGGTTTGCTTCATGGATAAAAGAAAGAGGATATTAGGAAGCTAGAATAAGAGGTACCTAAAATAAGGGGCCCGGAAAGATTTGGGGGAACTGAAAATTTCCGAATTTACTACCTACCTAAACTTTATTAGTCAAGCCCCAAGCCCGTTTAGTTTGACAGACCTGCAGAGTTGCATGGTACCTACCCTAATGTTATCGTAGGCCACTACTATGTACCTAATTACATAAGGTATACTACCCATGTACCTAAAGGCTAGAGGCTAGAGGCTAGAGGCTAGAGGTCGGTAATCTTGCAGTTCTCAATTACTCCCAATCGAGTTTTTAATATGCGCTTCTAAATCGCCGAGTGCTACTAAAAAGCTACGGCCAAGGCTTTATTACATAGTAGCTCCTTGGGTTTAATGAGATCAATAACCCGACTTTCATATATTTTACGATGTCGAAGTCAACTTAGAACCCCTGAGTACCTGTACTCCGGTATGTCGGTGGGAGGAGAAATCCCGATTATTATTTCTCTGGTTGATCGCATATTGGTTCACTAGCAGATTCCAGTAATGCAGCTACCGACACGTCATCTTATGTACTGATGAATTGCAGCTGGTGTGGGCCGTCGGGTCTATCACGACCATACAGCGACGGCGTCACCGCCACTATGTGCGCAAATTCTGCATGAGAGCCCAAGATCGCTAGTCCTTGCTTCGCTTCGCATGTCCGGCATCGAAAGGCTTACGTATAGGAGTAGGCTTACGTATACTATATAGGAGTTACATGATTGCGGTAGGTAATGCGGAAATTTCTGGAGAACTGAATTATTAAATAGGTACCTTTCATTCCCCCCCAAGTGACGCACGTGGCTGATTTTTGAGTCCGTCCTATTTCCTCAAGCGCCGGGGCGCCGTCATCGCACTCCAATAACATCGCCTCAGAACAAAATAATATAAATTTCGTTGCACCGCCGCTATGATCTTACGGTGTAATGTAAATGCTCACTTGCTGTTCTGATAGGGTTTGCTGCATTCTATTGCCGATATGATCCGGATACTTGCGCCTTTGTTACCTCGCTGCAGGTACCCGGACTTTAAGACATTAGCCGCTTAACGGGATATTTATTTCCGATTTTCACAAAGAATGAATAGTATTCACGGCCAAATTTGACTTATACTTTTTCATAGTGACTATCCTTAAAGATGCTGATCTAAGTTCATCATTAGATTGTAATAGAATTCGAGATAAACAAACATATACTTTAACCCCTTTCTAAGCTTCGCCTAGATCGTATTTACTGAAATCAACAGTCACCATAGCCCAGCGTCTTGCGCTATACTGTTCATGGTATCTATACATGCATTATGGACTCGAGGAAACATGAGATTTCGATATTTAACATGTTGTCTAAATCTATGGTTTTATATAGATTAAGCTCACATGTCAAATTCCATTATGATTACCCCGCGACCTGGCTCGAGTTGCTACGTACATTGCCACTGGACTACTCCCCTTTGTCAAATCTATATAGAATGTCTCTAGCAAACACCATCTAGGTAGCCATTGACTTAGTTAATAGTTACTTTCGCTTAAACTTGACAAGTAGCTAATTGAAACCCCACACAACCCCTTAAAGTCTACCTCCAATAGGGAGGCGCCAGTGTAAGCCCTCCATATCCTATTCGATCGTGTAATCGCGTTGGGAACTGTACGTCAAGACAACATACCTTGGTCCACTGCAACTAACTCATATGGTTATTGATGCTTCTCCGCAAACACTTCTCCGCAAAGCACCAACGCGTACCATAGGCGTAAATATCATTTTAGTATTCGGCCAGGACTAACCTCGTAATTAGGGAGTTGGCGATGATGGATCCTAAGTTTGAAAATTGTCACACGTTATTCAATAGGTCAAGCCTACGATGGGGCCAAGCCCTGATCATATATTCGAAGTTACAACCAGAATCCTACCATTCAAATCCGAGGCCTTGTCCTGATTGGCTAGTTTCTACGTGGTAATAAGCTATTCAACTTTGGAATCTTGGGCATTCTCGTCTCCAAACTATTGATAGGCTCCTAACCGACGGATTCGCGCGAGTGTGTAAGTCCACGTATCCTGCCAATGTAAGCATTGGGGAAGATCGTACATCGACGTCATATTATATATGTGCTTATTTTATGAGGTGAGACAAGGCGCTGATACGTCAGTGATGTGATCTACGTCAAGACCAGCGAGCCGTAGAGAGGAGTTACTTGTATGTTAACTAGTGATCTCAACCTAGTTAGGCGTGTAGTTCTTGGCGAGGAAACGTAGCTGTTTTCCTACTTTCTACTCACGTCACGACAAGTAATAATAGAGAAAACCCGTTACGTCCGCGAGACGATTAGTGATCTAAAGACGAGTTAGTCGACTTGTATCATAGGATTAAGCTAAAGAAATGGCTAGTATGCTTTGACTCCTACAATCCCTCGTAAGTTAAACACCTGGTAGGGCAATTTGTCGAATAGGTATATCTTATATATACCTGCAGACAAAACGCGCATGAATTGCGCTCTGATCGAGTCTTTTATCGCAATCGTAACTAAATATCTATCTTAGTCATCCTTACTCTTCTCCAGAGAGCTGAACAAATATGCGGTGGGGTAGGGTTACATTAGAATATAAAGCTAAAGCTTCGGCGCTCGCGACTTGGCCACTTGAAAGTTGAGATTCTCGCGAGGCTTTTTTCACCGCCCTTCGTAAGGATCGTTTGGTCATTATTCGAGGTTGCTAAAAGTGAATAGCTTCAATCGAATGTTCGAGCCGTTTATCTCAGGAGGCCGCCTGCTGCTGGACGGGGTCCACGATTCACGCTACGATGCCTGCTTAGATGTCAGAGAAGCTGAGATAGAAAAGTATAGGTAACTATACCTAACCTAGTTATCTTATTATTCGACTTCTCTTTTATGGAATAGGGTACTGTGATTGATTATGACTAGAAGCAATATGGATTAGCCTTGTAATGATTCTCACCACACCCTGGACTGGTGACCTCACGATACTCATGAGCAAAAATGTGCTATGGCCCTGGGATGTTCTACTGTTTAAATAAATCGAATTATCGAATTACATAAGACTAGAACCTACGATGGCCGTCTCTTTAGCATCTGCAGAATTTAGTCAGTCCATACATAGGTAAACAGTCTTCAGAGCTCTTGGCAACTTTATTTTTGCTGTAATATGTACATACGTACATATTAAACCCCCTGTTACGGATATGGGGTTCGACATGGGGTTGTGGGTTTGTTATTGGGTGGCTATGATTATTTTTATACGAACCAGCCCTATGAGAGCACAGCTCACAAGTATGGGGTGGAAATAGATCAACCAACGTGCTCTCGGTCCAAAGACATGGCCACCATCATGCAGCTATGATACCGAATGCTACCTTATCAGCAGCATCTTCGAGCACAAGTCCCATTCCAGATGCTTCATTGGTGGACGTGGAAATAATGACTAACCAGCCTCCCAGCCAGCAATGAACTTTTGTGTAGCAGCCATATGTACATAGCAATTAGACCCCTCCGATCGAGTGATCGTCAGTTTGTGCTGACGCCTAGAATTCACAGTAACATGAAACTTTAAAAAGAAATCCCACCGCGTTATATATTAACGTTGGTGTCGGCTCTCCATTAAGTAGGTAGTGGCTAGATCCATCTCACTCCATTTCTCCGCTCTTCGCCTTCGCCGGCATGCGACAATTCGCACTTTACTTTGATCGCGACATCTTTCCGTAATGGCCCAACAGGCGCCGGAAGTGGTAGGTAATCCCCACCATTTGTAGTAGATCCAGAACCATGGCATCGGAACATATATATAAATATAAATTACTTACAACTGCCGTAACAGCTTACGGGCCCTTCCCAGGTCCCTGACACCCTTGCCGGAATCATCATTCCGATATTCTTCGCAAGTCTCGTGGTCATCGGCCGCCTTTATTCGAGATTTCTACTGAAGAACCATTGGTGGGACGATGCGGCTATATTCTTCGCATGGTTGTTCGCCATTGCGCTGGTCGCAATCGTCGGCGTCGAAACCGAATATGGCCTCGGCCACAAGTTCAGTAATATCCCTCTCCGGTTGCGACCGGTTGGCATCCGACTATCATACGCGACGATAAGCTGTTACCAAGTTTCGTTAGTCCTAACGAAGATCAGCATTCTGTTATTCTACCTGCGAATCTTAAAGATACCGTATCAACGAGTTCTCGTATTTATCACCATGGGCTGCGTCGTGGTTTACGGCATCGTCTTCTTCCTTCTCACTTTCTTCCTGTGCAACCCCGTACAGAACAGATATGAATTTGATATTAGGGTGGGACATTGTCTGGCTTACTACCCGATCATGACGGCGTCGGCTGCCTTGCATACAACAACTGATGTATGGATGATTGGAATGGTGCTCCCCCATATACTTAAAATGACGCTGCCGATACGACAAAAAGTCGCTCTTGCATTCGTCTTGACTCTGGGTATATTTGTGGCTTGCGCCTCTCTGACACGGATGGCTGTTGCATGGGAATTCCTCAACCCAAAATACGCTCAGTGGGACTCGTTTTCATTTGCGATCTGGACCACGTTGGAGTCGAGCTTAGGTCTGGTCTGCGCCTCGGTACCAATGCTAAAGCCCTTGGTCAGGCAGCTGATGGGTCTCAAGCCCTCCTCAAAGCCCGATGTTTTGAAGAACGTTCCTCGAACCAGGGGTCCAGAGAGACAAGAAAACCGAATAAACGAATACGCCTCGGATGCAACGACGTTATGGACAAGGGGCGGGGGAGATGCCGATATTGAAGGAATCGACCTCAGGCCAATAAAGACTAATCAAGCATATAGAGCCCCGACAGCAGGAGCGATTTCAGAAGAAAGACTTGTCACTGTGTGATGTCTTATGAGGTTGGGGTTGGAAAGGACACCACGGCCATACGAAACGAAAATATAATGGGCGATGAATTTACGACATGTGCTATTCCATACTGGTAGCTTAAGAATTATGACTTCGTCTTCTGAGATGTCCCCGGATATACCTAGACAGATTTATGACGTTACGCCTGCATATGTACGTGTCCCTAGAAGTAATACCTGCATCTTGTGTAGCACACAAAGCCCAGTTTGAGTCTTCATTGGTGATATATATAACGATCATGATGAGCTACTTGCTGACCTTGCAGATTCATAACTTTCCAATTTTACAGCTTCTTCGTAAGATTTGATGCTGTATCGACGGCGTTAGATCCTAGAACACGCCTATAATATACTCGGCTCGATATCGATACGTCAGTAATACAGACCAAGACCCGAGTCCTCATGTCCTACCCGACATACGGAGATACTCAACTACTGGTACTGTGTAGTGTACCTACTATCAATTTCATTTAGAATGAACGAACAACTAGGTCAAGCTGTAGCAAGAGGAGAGAGCAGGATACTTTTCTTCCTAGTACCAGTAACTATATAACGTGCGATGGCTAAAGGGTCTATATGCGAAACATAACAAAAGCATGGGCTAAAAGTATATCATCAAGACTTGTAGAATATCATACTCTACAAGCTAAGCCAATAAAAATTATCAAGATATTGTAATCATGCATCTTAATAAAGCCCATTAATAATGCTCTGAATTTACGTTGATAGGTATGTTCCCCCACGCAAACCTCCGTACGATTACTTGCAATCCAAATTACGCCATCGGAGACATCAATCATGACATCGACCTGGGCACGAACTAGAACGCATTTTGCGTGTCAACCGAAACTTGACCAATCATACTTGTTATTCAATAGGAACCTCGCCCTCTTATATCACGACAGCCGACCCCGTCATGGCGAAGTTAAGCTGCTCAATCGTTATCAAGTCGGGGTTTACGTATTATGGTGGTCTATGTAACTACGCCTTTTTTCGCTATCAAGGGTCGGACGTAATTACTATCATGGATTTAGTTGATTGTGAATGATTTTTATAAATTGTTCATCTTCTTTCTCGTTAAAGTCGTGGTTGGAATATACGGTTAATTGGTAGGTACCTACCTAATAGCGGAGGAGTAATCATCTCACTCAGCAGCCACGATGTCTGAGCGCCCCTCACCTAAGGAGATCTTGGTGAACGAGTCTACCCTTGACGTCGCGGGATCTTCGCGACAGGAATCGGAATTAGAACCGGTGGAAAAAGTTAAGGCGCCATGGTGGTCGTTCATCTGGGACTACGAGCCCGGCCGGTCTCAGGAGGAGCGCGTGTTCATCCAGAAGCTCGACATCTTTTTGGTCACCATGCTCTCGTTTGGGTACTTCATCAAGAACTTGGATCAGACTAACATCTCGAATGCGTTCGTCAGCGGGATGAAGGAGGACTTGGGTATGAACGGCAACGAGATCAACCTTGTTGACACTGCGTGGACGGTGGGCTACGTTGTCGGACAGATCCCGTCGCAAATCGTCCTAACGAAAGTTCGACCCTCTGTCTGGGTTCCGTCGTGCGAGCTTGTATGGACGCTCTTGACATTCTGCCTCGCGGCGGCTAAGACGCCGAACCACGTCATCGCCATCCGTTTCCTCGTCGGGCTGGCTGAGTCAATTTTCTATCCAGCCGCTCACACGATCCTTGGGTCGTGGTACAAGCCCTCGGAGCTGGGGAAGCGAGCTTGCATCTTCCACGCATCATCAGCCGCTGCCGCCATGTTTTCGGGCTACCTCCAAGCAGGTGTGTACCGAGGATTAAATGGAGTTAACGGGCTTGCTGGCTGGAAATGGCTCTTTGTACGTCTGAGATCGCTCTCGAAGTTTTCTAGTTGCTTGGCTGACGCTCTTGTTCAGATTATGGACGGGGTTATTAGTCTCCCAATCTGCATCGCGGGATTCTTCATACTACCGGACCTCCCTGAGAACACAAGGGCTTTCTACTTGAGTGAGGATGTGAGTCTTTGCACATAACTGTCATTATGTATTAAGTATTTTACGAGCCGGCTAACGAAGGAAAACTTAGGATCGTGCTATGGCTAGGGAGCGTATGAACAAAGTTGGGCGTGCACCTCGCACGAAATTAGGACTCTCCACCTTCAAACGTATATTTGGTCAGTCTAGCACTCCTTACCCAATCTGAATTAAGATATATACTAATAGCTGACATAGGTCGATGGCACGTCTATCTTCTCACAATATTATATGTTATATTCATTAATATCGGACCGTCGTCAAGTATCAACGTTCTAGCTATCGTAAGGCATCCTTCCCCTTTTAACTCTTCTTGGGGTTATTATTCCTAAGGAGTACCAAATGTACTTAGTCCCCTTCAATAATCGATGACTAACATTTATTCTTATCTATAGTGGTTGAAATCAAGAGGAGAATCCGTTGAAAGAATTGTGAGTAAACATAATTATCCTTACCTACCACTCAGATTTATTAACGACGAATTACCACCAGAACATCATCCCCACGGCCATGTCAGCTATCCAACTTGTTCTCACCGTCACACTCGCCATTGTCTCCGACGCTATTCGTCAACGGGCCAGCATAATGTCCATCAGCACATTCATCGGCGGCTTTGCAGCTCTAGTCCTAGCCATTTGGAACGTCCCCGACGGCCTAAAATGGTTTGCGTTCCTCATTCAGCGCGCCTCGGTCCCATACGGACCTCTCAGCATGAGCTGGACGAACGAGATATGCGGCGCGGACGCCGAAGAGCGGGCTATTGTCATTGGAATTATGAATTCTATGGGCTACGCTTTTAATGCCTGGGTGCCCTTACTAACGTACCCCCAAGTAGACTCTCCGAGGTTTAGGAAGGGTTTCATTTCCTCGACGGTCTTGTTCGGCGCGCAGGGCATCATAACGGCAATAGTGGCGTTTATGTATAGGCGAGATCAAAAGAAGAACAACCGTAGAGACGATGCTCCTGGTATTGGGGATGAAGGGGGTGTTATTGTGAGCTCTCTGGATCGCCCCTGACTTTAAGTCTTAGCATTTAAAATTCAAGACTTTGAACATTGGCTATGTAGTATCGGACTTCGAGTAACTCTCGATGTAAATATAATATTATTCGAATAGCCATTTATTGTGTGTCACCATAGAACGTATGATATATAAACAAGTGTAAAGAAAGTTACAACTAGTCGATTGCTCGTTTAAGAGTGGGATTAATTAGTACCTACCTATGTATTGCTAATAGATCTAATCTATGGGCAACAATCTAAAAGCCCTATACGAGCAATCTAAGTCAGCTTAGCTACCTAGTAAATTAAATTATACTCCAAGCTGTTTGATCTCGGGATACTATCTACCATCGTCGCCCTGACGGATCAAGTCCCCGTAGCATTCCGAAGGCTCTTTGCTCTTCTTCTTCACTTAGAAACAACACGGTAGGATTCCCTAGAAGGACCCATCCTGGTTCCCTCGGCAATTCCATGCCTGTTCTTGGCTCCGATGGCTGTGTTGGCGGCGTATCGTTTCTGCGAAGACTCTCCCTAATGGCGACTATCTCCAGGTGTTGCTCTTCCGGCTCACAGGTGCCGAAGATGTGGAGTACCTCGGGTTGCATCCTGCTGCGGAAGACATCCGCACGGCATGTTGGACACTTGGGATTTTCTACATTGATGTCTTTCATCAGCCACTGGGAAATACATTCGTAGCCGAAGGCATGACCACATCTGGGCAGAACTGCAAAAGGTTCGTGAGTGGTTCGTGACTTTTTATCAAAGTCATAGTTTACGAGGCTTAGATGTGCGACCTGGCAAATATAACACTTGATGTTAAATCTAGTATTCTTATTAGTAAGATACCCGTCTTCGTTGAAGTGCGTAAGAACCTCATGGAAGTATTGGGTGTCTACTGTTACAGGGGTTTGTCCGGGAGTCTGCTCCATATTGCTTTCTTGGTTAACGGGGGATTTGTCTGATGTAAATAGGCAATTATGGGGATAATAATACAATACTGCAAGGCTGTGATGTTGTGATATTTTGATGTGCAGGACGCCTCTCTTATACAGAGGTCTTTGACAGTTCATTGTTTGCGAATACAACATCTACTCGTGAATGCTAATTTTGAATACTAACATATTATATACAAAGACATGGTTTGGAGACAATTAAAGCTTGGAGCGTATGTCCTGGAACAACTCATCGAATATATACTTTCTACTAAAACTGTGTCGTCTAATTAATATTCCTGCCTTAATTTACTCCTATCCATTACCAATGACCCACCCCCCTTTAACCCATCTCATATCGTTATATATAGATTAGATCTTTTAAGTATCTTCATCGAATAACATATATTCGTATGGAATCGTCATGAGCTTAATCCGATAAATTAACTCCAGTTGAATTTGGGATGTCTATCTCGACTTAATGCATACCTACTCACCCAGGTAGAAGTATTGAGGACGACCCTCATAGTTACGTTACAGAGGTAACGGGCTATCTGGGGGTCGTGGGCTTCTTGTCTCAGATGAGAGCTCGGTACCAACAATATCTGTCCCCGGGAGTTCTGTGTAAGTGCCCGAGTGCAGTTCACTCCTCTTGGGAGGCTCTGTTTCAGTGGCGCTACCATAGCCATACATGGCCATATGAGGGGCTGTACCGGCATATGATGAAGGAGGGTGCTGCCACTGATATTGCTGTTGCTGTTGCTGCTGCTGCTGCTGTTGTTGTTGTTGTGTGCTTGTTGCCGCTGCGGTAGCTGCTTCGGCCTCCTTCACTTTCTGACTTAACAGTCTATTCCGCCAAATCATAAACCCTAGCCCCATAAGAGCAGAAGCAATGACGGCACCTTCAATCGCTAGTCCTGCTACCGCACCGGAAGGAATCTTTGATGGGTTCTCCGTCGAGGAATTGGTGTTTGATGAGCCCGAAATGCTAGGTGAGCTCGAAACGGTCGAGGAGACTATGGCGAGGGGTATTGCTCCTTGACCAAACTGGAGCTGTGCAACAACAGTGCCGATAGACTGCGTTAGTTTAAAGGCATTGTCACAACACTGTTGCGTTGTTAAGGCGTTTGTGTCTCCTTCACAGCACCAAAAGGTATCGTTGCAAGTTTTTAGATGGGCGTTATCAAGCTTGACTTTCACTCCCTATTAGCTAAGATATCAACCAAGAGGAAAATGTGGGTGACTAACGTCCGAGGCAGTATTGAGGACAGCTCGGGTCTTTGAACGTTGGATCCGTGCATGCTGTCGACCAGAGCAAGTGGCTCTGCTGGTGAGCGATGGTGTTCAGACACAGGCCGGTTGATAGACACGCATCTCCGTTCTCTACGCTGCAGCATGCGCTATGGGATCCTTCTACTCCGGTAGCACTGGGTCATATACTATTAGTATACGGTATGGAAATGATTGAGTCAAGTTTCAGCCCCTTTCTTATGGACTAGTTTTACCCGACACGTTGAAAGACAGCAAAGAACCAAGTCTACCTACTTAGGATTGCACAGTCCGTTCGATGGTCCCGCTTTCGTGCCGTCGAGATGGTAACAGGTCACGGCCAGTACCTGTAAAACCAAATAGCTTTCAAGAAGGAAGAGCAAGACGCTCCTAATTAGTAGCACCTTTAGCATTGTCATATATTATATACCCGAATACGTAAGAGCGAGCGAAAGGGTATTTATCTTTCAGTAGACCTCGGGGGCACGACTGGTTGAGAAAATCGAAATAAGCAGAACGGAGTAGGGGCGAAACTAAGCAACGGCCCCAGGATGGGCTATTATATTTATTGGACATACGAGGGTGACTACATCCTAGATCCGGGGTTTGTCATGGGGGCTATTAGGGTCACTGGTGTAAGGCTGATTAGGTTCGCCCCTTCGTACCCTTACTAGTAACCCATATTGCATCGTGTAATAGCTGATCAAATATGCCCCTGTTTGACGATGCAGTGTCCCTCATTTCTAGGAAGCTTAATTATCTAGTTTTGGATAAGCGGCATTGCATGTTTCTTAGGACTGTCTATTTATTTGTGCGAGATTTGGTGTAAGATCGCGCCTTGCTACCTAAAAGGGGAATCTCCTAAACGTCGATCTGACATTGCCTGAGATCCACATCGCAACATCTCACTAGACGTCCGAACGCGTCATTCGTTCTAGGGAATATCGATTTATTATTGTCATATGTCTCTTGAAGTCCTCCAAAGTTGAAACTGTCCAGTGATTGGTGGAATGGCGAGGCGCTTTGGACACTCGACATCTGTCATCCCTCTACCTACTACCCTTGGGAGCGTCTGGCATGTCTTGGCTTACGACATTTAGGAAATATTATTTTCTCTATAAGGCTGAGCTAAAAGGCTTTGGAATAGGCTCTTGGGGTGTCAAGGAGATACCGGATTTGTTTCACTGTGACGTTCCCTCTTGGTGAGGGCTTGCTATTTACTATATATTTTATCTAATGCACAATCAACTTCCACTTCTCGTCATAGTACGTCCGAGATAAGGTCACATTAAAGTCCTTACTATCGGCGATTTTAGGTTAAAATGTGACATAGCGTGTGTATAGCATCTAGCCCTGGCTATCAATTAGAGATGGCTATTTGGGTGGCACCTTGGCATAATCCCTAATTATCACCATATAATTCGTAAGCACCTTTTCATAATACGCAGTAATGCGCATTTCTATGAGAGAGCTGGCGTTTGTCTTGTCTAGGACTCTTTGACTAGTGATCGAAGTCAGAGCCTTAAGAATCCTTCATACTTTGGTACTGAGTATATACACTTAGACCGTAACTATATCGATAGTCGCGTGCCCCTTCGCGAGACTTTCAAAACTACTAATACATCATCCTAACTTAAAATTTTACTTTGGCCGTGCTAAACGTTATGTGAATGGGTATGTTCAGACTATCACAGCGGCGGTTAGATCATGGTTCATCTCCCCCTAGACTAAGTGAACAGAACGCCAAATTTAAATCCACCAAAGGAACTATGCCTAGGTATTAATAACGAGTCTAAATCCTGGCAAAATGCCCGCAGCTAGGTATTTGATTTGCGTTATTAGAGTTTCGTCAATATCCAACAACTCTATGGCTATGTGAATTCGCGTGTTAGGACAGTTCCTCAAAATATAAGTACTCATTAGGTTCCCATTTTCTTCTATTTCCCAAAGTCCCAACATAGGTACGTATATAAAAAGCGTGGGAAGATCACTTTAGTGAATTTACCCTCATAAATTCTTTCTCCGTTTCCTTTGCCTCCCTTACACAACATTTTCTACGTGGTCAAATCATCCCGCCATCGAGTAACCTAACGATGTTGAATCGAACAGGTATAAGAACATGATCGCCGACTCCGGACTTGAAGGATATACGATAATTTTACCATCTAATTAAGGGAATATATTAAAGCCATGACAAGATTAGAGCGTATTCATCGCCACTTGGCGAGAACTAAGGATATGCGAGAACACAAAGAGCTCACCTGGCGGGAAGATAGGATGATCCCTATCCTAGACACGAGAAATATTCACAACCGCAGACAGCTAGATGACTTGTTAAAACGTTATGTACCTACCATGAAAGCGGTTAAGAGGCTGTCTGCCAATACCGCTTTCGTCGCCCTGGATATCAAACCTAAGTTTGGGATCGGGGCGCTCTTTGACGTTGACCTGGCACTTTTACCGAAACTCGAGGGGCATACCTGTGGCAAGCACAAGGAAGCGCTATCTCTCGCCGATTTTATAACGGAACGCCAGGTTAAGGTCGCGTCGTTGAGGATCAACATGATAGGCCGAGAGGAGGTGGTCAAACCCAGGGCGACGACCACAATAGTCCATGCTATGAGGCAGCTTTGCGAAGCAGTCCCAGGTCAAAATATCGCGCTTATCGGCTTCTCTCTTCCAAAAGATATCGAGCGTATAGGCTTGAACTTTGCGCATATCAACAACATGTTCCCCTATTGGATAGACCTTTCAAGGATGATCGGAGCGGTTTCTCCAGCCTTAGCACACCATCAAATTAACATGAGAACCATCCTTGGTACCTTTGGTTACGACTCCATCGGTACAATATGGTTTGTAGGAACTCGCATAGTAGTCAACGAAGCGGTTAAAGCATTGGCCGTGCTAGAAGGGTTGCAATGCCGAGAGGGCGTAAACAAGCTCATACTGGGAGAGCGGAAGTTTCCAGGTATAGAGGTTGAAGCCCAGGTCGAGGCCTTCAGATTCATGCCGTACAAAGCGTTGATTCATAACCAGGGTTCACATCTGCCTCCTAGCATCGATTCTGCCCAGAAGTTGGCTCTCGCAACAGAAGACTATCGACCCATTGGAGTTGCCGCCGATATATGCGATATACGGTTTGAAGGTATTAAACCGTGCTGTCCCGGTATCGGCGCGACGGGAATGACACGAGGATGCGTCTGTTTTAAGGACGAGAAAGCACTGGAGGAATTTATAAACGACGTTGATGGTAGCGTCATAGACGGAGTAACAATCAAGGTTGAAAACATACCCTATCAAACGTTCTGGAAGTATTTAAAGGAAGCTATCAAGGCGAAGGGCACTTATATATATGATCGGCTAGAGACGACTGCAATGATGGCCAAAGAGAATATACCGCGATGGTATGGTGCGTTGTCTTCGCCAGCCGATGGCAAGTTCCCATGGTGTCCTAATCCGGAAGATGCGCCTCCTGGCTACTATGATACCGATGATGATATCATTACTTATCCCAGTCGATTACGGGGTTAAATAGATGGGGTTTTAGAAGTAATGAGGGTGTGTTTTCATGATTTAGGCGAGCTAGCGGCTTCACTCATAAACCGCATCGTCATAGCGCGGAGTTTTAACGAATAAACCCTAGTATGCGACCTAGGTACTTGATGTTAATGATAATACTAAGGGCACCTCTTCTAAAATATATCCCCCTTACAAGAGAGAAAATTCGTAAGTATTCAAGATAGCCACGAGAATCAATTATACAAGCTATCACGAAGTTGTAGTTGCAAACGAGGCGTTCCTGAAGTAAACCGCTAGGTCTAGGTAGGCAACCCGCCTTAATGCAGCTAAAAGCGGGAGCTAAGACCTGCAAGGTCGCTCCTTATCTAATCCATAAATCTCGTGCGACGTACCGGAGCTCCCGGGATAATTACCTAGGTACCTAGGTACTAGTATATACCCGCCGCACCTTCACCTCCGACCTCAACCTAACAGGTACCTACCTCCATACAACCCACCACACACCTCGGTCCTCGGCCATGCCCTCCAACGAACGCACCTCCCTCCTCAACCCCAGCATCACAACCACCACAACCACCACGACCCGCCGCCACCCCCGCAACAGCATGTACTGGACTCTAGCCTGCATCTACGGCGCATCCGCCGTCGGCCTCGGCGCTTTCGGCGCCCACGGACTAAAGAAGCTAATCTCGGACCCGACCAAAGTCGCCAACTGGGCCACCGCCGCGCACTACCAGCTCGTGCACTCGGTCGCCCTGCTCGTCGCCGCCCAGGTCCAGAACCCCATCTCCGGCGTCCTGTTTACCACCGGCATGACTTTCTTCAGCGGGAGCTTGTACCTGCTCGTGCTGGACCCGGCGCGCTTCCGGTTCCTGGGTCCCGTGACGCCGCTTGGTGGGCTGTGTTGTGCGTTTCCTTTTTTTCCCCTCTATTTATGATAACGGTTGATTTATGTAGAAGTATATACTAACTCCTATTTGCATGCGAATAGTGATTGGCGGCTGGGTTGCGCTTGCGCTGAAATGAAGAGAGAGCTAGGCACTTAATATAACCCATCTCAGCTTATGATGTTGTAGTCTTATACGAGAGGGGGTCGCAGGAAGAAGAATAGTTACGGATAGCCGGGCTGCCTGTATAAGCGTGATCTCGTTGCAGACATAACTACCACCCCTAAGTAACATCGCCACTCCGCATAAGCGAGAATCTACCTTTTGTTGCACCTCTCTCGTACCCAAGGGCCAACTGTGAAGTTACATATCTACTACTGGCTAATCTTCAACTCATAGACTTAATGGTGTTCGGAAAACTTACGCGGCGCTTTCCTTACCTTGAGGTATTCCTCTTAAACTATTCGGGTACTTGCGGACGGTCCCAACAATCTTCTCCATTAGTAAAACGTATTCACACATCAACGTGGGAACCCATGTTTATCACTATAACGAGCTATCCTTAGTACCTAGGTTAGGTAACTAAACAAGAATCATAGCAAACCAACCCTTGGTATCCGAACACCTCGAAGTTCGTGGTATCTTTTGGTCGTAGTCATATAATAAGCAAAGCCAGACCCCGCTCTCGTCCCCTTGTTTTCCTTAAAGGATGTTGGTATGCTTGTTATAGCATAGACCAACGCGCCAGTCTCTTATATATTCTCCTGCTCCTTATACCTGCCACATTCCCAGACGCATCTTCAATAGGTCCTGCTGCGACTCCATTTCGTCTTGCATCTCTTTTAGGTTTGATACGCACTACGCCTCACCACTAGATACTGCAGCTATTGCTTGGAACCCAGCTAGGACTTCTTTGTCGACGTTAACGGCCCAATTATCCCGGAAAGCTTGCTCTCCGCCAGTTCTCTGTACCAGGTCGTTAAGTTTATCTTTCACAAAGGGAAGAGACTGGACTGTCTTCACTGGGTCGGTCGTAAACAAAGCCCTCTCTCTCACGTCCTTCGCCGTGTCCCATTCAGTGGGTTCCAGCTTGTCAGTGATGACGAGCATATCATTGCCGATAGTAGGTGACTCAGCACTTATGATCTGGACCATGACGCTTGTCCACATTGAAAAATAATCCTGGAGTTTGAGCAGAATAAGGTCCTGCATCGGTTGGTGAAGTTCAAGAAGCCGTGTTAGAGCTAGAAGGTTAAGTTTGTGCCGATTGTTATCAGCTATGCTATCGAATGAACCAAACCACTCGGCGCTGAGCCAATTCCAAACTTGATCTAAGGGGCCAAGTGAGGCAAGCATCTCCACGAACATGGCTGGATCGATGACGGCAATTCGAGATAAGATCACGAAGTACTCTACTAGGATTTGAGAGCCCACACGACTTTGCTTCTTTTTGGGCCCAGATGTTTGGTGGGCTTCAAAGGAGTCATGTATACCTTCGAAGATTGTAGGTAGGAAGCCTACCCCCATCATGTCCTGAACAATTACTTGTAGTCCGGACGTGCCACCTAACTCATGAGATAATCGTATTAACGATTCGGCGTATCGTATGGTGATGCTCACTAGCTCACGGCTCTTCGCACTAAGCGAACTAGAGAGAGCAGCGAGAGCAGGTCGTCTATATCGATCCTCAAGAATGACCTCTGGTGCGAGTAGAACGTAACAGCCGAGAATGCTTGTGTATGTAAAAGCATGGTCATTCTGCTTCGAGAGTTCATTGATGGCAGTTTCAGCCAGACTGGTAAGCCCCGATGATAAGGGAGGCTGGCTTTGGTATAAGATATTGGACCACAGGTCTAGCGCTTCTTCGATGAGGTACAAATATAACTCTGTACCTTCTCTTGTAGCCTCGGATATCAGTGGTAAAATCATAGGTTGATATCTCTGAGATTCTGTTTTCATGGACATCACCACTGCTTGTATGATGGCCAAAACTGATTGCTTCATCATGAAACCCAGGTCACCCGCAGACTCCCAGATGCTGGGTATTGCATTCATTACCATGTCGCCGAAACTAGACACATGTGTTTCCATGCGCTGTATAAGACTCCGCGTTGATTCAAGTATCGCCAACTTGGTCTCGTCAACCTCTGCTTCCTCTAATAGCCTGATGAGCCGCATAAGCACATCAGAAGCATATGGAGAGAACAGATGTCCTTCAAATCCTAATTCATCAAAGATAGTCTTAAATTGTCTCGCAGTCGTAATACGAACAACAATGTCGTTGCATGCATCTTCGGGGTTGAGGAAATGTCGGAATATTTCGTAAACAAGTGGGCGGGCTTCTCCTGATAATTTGACGGGCACCCATTGACTTAAAAGGATGGCAATCCTTCGTCTGATGACTCGGGCTAATGGGCCCGTCTGCTGAGCATCGGCTGCTATCGTCGTCTTTAGCATATTTTCGAAGTCAAACTCTTTGCTAACCAAAGGAGCAGCTAGTCCCATAGCAGTATACACTGCTTCTTTAGTAACGATATCCGCTTGCGGGTTTTGAACCGTACCGAAGTATGATATGAGGGGCTGTAGGAGTAGACGCTTATAGTGTGTGAGGAGATCCAAGAACAACTTCTCCGCGCAAGGCCTCACCTCCCATTCGTAGGCATTACCTTCGGCCTCTTCTTGCTGCTCCCATTCCTGCGGGTCTTCATCCCATGCATCTAGATCCGCCTTGCGAAATATGAAAAAGTGAGTGATTAAGACGTTTGCTATTTGAGTGACAGTTTCATCTTTGAGCAATTCGGCGCCTAGAAATTTGACTGCGTCTTGTTGTTCATCTATGATATCCTTTGAACGATAACGGATTGTCTGCTGGGGAAAGTGGACTATCCTTACACACTGTCTTACTAGAAGCAGACCCTTCAATGCTAGCCTCTCCAAAAGGGGCCCTTCGACTTTAGCCTTGGGCTGTCCTGATCCTGAGGTCTCTTGTCGTATTCCATCCGACTTATTGAACACTTCTGCAAATTTAGCGGTGAGGTCCCAATATGCACGGACAAGATCTAGAGAGTTTGGAAGAGAGGCAAAGCTTGCAGGATGGGCTGTAGCCATCTCATTATGGAGCTTTGTGAATTGCATAAGGTGTTTCCCTAAGAGATCGGCATATCGGGCTATCTTTCGCGAATCACTGTTGATGAAGCTGAGAAATTGTGCAAACTGCACTTGAGAAAAGCTCCAGACTTGTTGGACGCTTTTGTCCTTGTGCGGGTACTCATAACCGACTATCAAGAGGCGGCGGAGACTCTTGATAGCATCAAGGCTATTTTCCATCGCGAGTAAAGCCTCATCTCCGTCTTCATTGTCACGACCGTTGGTTAAAAAAGCTATCCACTGACTAGTCCTATCATGATATATTTCACCAAGGATATATACGAGTTCTGGTGTGATGGACTGAAGCATGGTCTGAGACTTACGCAGACGCGCTGTTCCGAGTTCCTTCACTATTCGCAGAAGTATCATCAAAGCCCCCGAGAGCTCAACCTGGTCGCCATCCTTAGTCGCTCTAAGGAGCTGGGTAAGGTCGTTTAAGGGAGTAGGCCAGGCTGTAGGAAAGTCGGTGCGGACCACTTTCGCAATGACGAGAGCATTGTGTAGAGCAAGCTGTCTATCCCCTTCACTAGTAGTTCCCTGGAAAAGCCTCTCTCGTATTACTTGTTTCGCAGCTGCCGGGATGGCGTTCTGGACACTCTGAAGCCGCCAAAATCGATCGACGCCGTTCTTAAGTTGAATAATTGCCAGAAACCTGACATTTTGGGGCGCACTCTTGTCGAGGAAAATAGACTATTGGAACGAGTGTCGTTAGTGTCAAATAGTCGTGTGCGAAGTGGAAATGATATATACCTGTAAAGTTGGGTAGTATTCTGGGTTAGATTCCCAGGCAGTGAGCTGCTGGCCAGCAGCCTGACGGCGGCTGTTATCATGGGATGATGATGCAGTTTGGAGAGTACGGAGGAGCTCGTGGAAGTTTAGGGGCGTGGCCGCACCCGGAGCCTCTATAGCAAAATTCATTTTGATGGTGTTACGATCTGCGCATGTCGTGTGGTGTATAGAGAGAGCATAGACAGCATTTGTCTTTACGATGGTTATGTGTGTTAGTAGATTGTATGGGATGAAAGTTGAAGTGGGATGAATTGTTAGTTGTTGGTGGGGTAATTTTTTTAGACAGGGACAAGGAGAGAAAGTTCGACGTAGGTACCCACTCCATAAAAGAGCTATAGCTATTGTGGGTACGAGGCAGGTACGCTACGTATTAGGATTCACCGCCGGTGATCGCGTAGTGCAGAAGGCGCAGTGCATACATGTATACGTGACATGTGTTTAAGCATCAACTTACGAACCTTAGATTATGTAGGTAACCTTAACCTTGGAAAGTTCGTATACTAATTACATGTACCTAGAGGTACATTGTAGAGATAGGTACCTAATGTACTAACCTGTATACACTTTAGTGCAATACTTCCAATGAATTAACAAACGAAGCTATCAGTCATTGCTAATTAGATTTCTTGAACGTCATATCTTAGGTACATATGTCTTTCAAGTAGTAAAGTAACAACTTATAAGTAGACTAGTTATACTAAAATAGGGGCAAATAGTTTGCTGAAGGTACAACACGACCAACGCCGGCCGGTGTGTCATTATAATTTGTCGTTATTTTTGGGGATATGGGAAATTTCGTAAAGCCCTACACCTATTGCTCTGATCCTATAGTCTTTCCTGATCCCCACAGGATGCGTATATATTTAAGCCTTAACCCAACATATCCGTTTGGGTCGGGTTGAGCCTCTCTCTCTCCCGGTCGTAACCCCTGAACCGTCATTTTTTCCATCACCAAATTTCCAAGTTCCGGTGCCATGCCATCCAGTTAGAGATAGGCAGGAGAAAAGAAAAAAAACCACGTATCGTCATCTCACCCCTGGTATAAGAGTAGGTATTATCATTTAGGCCTGATATATATCCGTAAGGCTGGGCCAGTTTTCATTTAAAGCCCAACCCTCAACCGGGTAAGGCTGATGATATGGCTCAAATCCAAAGTTAGTAGCTAGAGGTGCCTCACTCAAGAGGGCGCTCGATACCGCAGCCCATGCTTCTGATTCTGTGATCCCCGGCCGCCAGCTCTGACTTATTCTCGGAGTTAGGTATTCTTTCGCGACTGTCTTAACGTCATCTGCGATCTTTCTGGAAAGGGGCCACGTCTCCCCATGTGTTGTGAGTATTTGTACCAGCATGTTAATTCGTTCTCGAAATACGGGGGAGTCCAATCCGAGGAATACACATGCATCGAGGTAGGCTAAAGCCACCCGTAGTGTCCCTATCGCGAATACTGAGCGTAGACACTTCGTAGGGAAAGAATGTCGAAATAAATCGCAATAATGATTAGCGGCTTGGATATCAATCGGGTGAGGATTCCAGCCGAAGCCTTTCACTATTTGCCCCTTACGATCGGGACCCTTGGCAGGACCCAGTGGAAAATAATCTCGTATGTTGAGACCAGTTCTAGGGGAGGCTTGTCTGAGCCAAAGTCGGTTACTGAATTACTTAGACGTCAACAGATGGTCTATGGCAATCCACAATACTAACTAATACTTACACATGTGCTATGGCAACGCCGTGGTAGAGTATTACATCAACTACACCATCTGGATCGACCAAATTCAGTTTCCACTTCGGAACACGCCGTAACCAATCGCATATTCGAGAGTCTGCACGATGGAATATCTCTGGCTTTTTGTCTTCTGGCGCTTCGTTATGTGGGAGGACTAAATCTGTCTGAATCTTACAGATATCAATGAGATAAGCCATTGAAGAAAAGTCGGATTGGCCCAAGCTGACTCGTGACTCATATTGCGATTGGGAGATCGGTTGAGGTATAATCTGGGGAACACGTTAGACACGAATGACGATATGTCTTTGACCTATGGGCTATGTTGAGGGTGAAGCACCAGCTCCCGGCAGTCGGCAGGCTTGGCGACAAGGAAAGGGAAGCACTCACCCCTGATTCGTATTCCCATTCTTCGCATGGCAAATCCACATCGGACTCCACATCTGTAATGGAGAGCGTAGAGCCGACATCGCATAGAGCCCGTTCGGAATCCTGGAAGGTCAAACACCACCATGTTCTTCGATAGCTCTCGGCAAGCACCGAATCGGATGCTGCGTCGGAAAATGTCTTATGGTTCATACCAATATCGACGGCTATCGTGACTGCCCTGTTAGCCCAACCGGCATGGTGTTCGAATTTCATCATCCCGTAAGCAGCAATGCTCAGGATGAGCAGCCCCTGCACTGACTGCACCGTAAAAGGTAGCGACCCACATGCTGCGGAACAAGCGGCTTCTAATAAGTCGTCAGAGGAGACTTGATTTGTGTAAAGCGATCCGCAGAAATTTATGACCAAGAGCAAGAAGTGATAGGCGTCCGGGTCCGATTCGACGTGATTAAAGAAAAATCGTTTAGGGGGGAGACAAGGGTAGCTTGGGTGAAAATGGCTGTAGAATAAGTCGAGTAATAACTCCTTTTCGTTTTGAGGCGAGGTGGACGCCTGCGATTCCGAACTGACGGACCAACCGCTTGGTAAGTCACGAGGAGATCGAACCGACGGCAGGCCTGAAGAAAAGTTTGATGTTGAGAAGAAGTTCCCTGCTGAAGTCGCTGGTGGCTTATCCGATATAAGACTTCTCTTTTTAGGGTCCCGGATGCCTCGTCTCGACTTTGCATAAAAGCACGGCTTGTCTTCTTGTTGGCAGCGATTACAAGCTGGCAGCGTGGCATCGCATTTGACGTGCTTGCTTCGGCATTGAACGCAGGCAAGCGATACGCGTATATTTGCCTTGGACCGATTGGCGGCCTTGGTCTCCGAGCCGTCGGGCGACGAAACCGTGGACCCTTGCCGACTGAGGCTTCCGGCCCTCTCCTCATCCCGACTCATCACCATGAGAGCGTCGGGTGGGGTTACTTAAGCAGAAAATTAGTGAAATTGTGTAAGGATCGCCGCTGAACTTGCCGGTATAAGGTAAATGGATGATCGATCGTGCCCGACGAGAGGATTATGTTTTAAGAAATGCACTAGAATGCACCATAAGCACGGTCGATGAACGGTAGGGTCGATGAGCGGACTTCTCATATATGAGCCGAAACTTGAAAGCAAGCCTCACATTTAGTTCTGACAAAACGATCATCAATGGCCGGGTTCGACGGGCGTTAAATGGGTCCAAATAGCACGTAGCAGCGGGTGATGTATGTACCAGGGTACGGGCGCGTGGTGAGGACCCCGAAGACAACCTGGCCCACGGCACCCCTTGGCCTTTGGGTTGCTGTCATCTGCAAGTTACTGTCAGCCCTGTACCCTAATCCCTAATCCTAATGTACGGAGCGCGGGATGGAAGGGGGAAATAATATTGAAATGCCCGATAGAGTGGTAGTGTTGCACAACGGGGTCATTACCTCCCTGTTGGTCTTCTTCTTCCCCCCTGTCTTTCCTAGGTAAGGTACGGTACTTATGCGATCGTGGCTTTGCTCCGTCCACTCCACGTCCATTCACGTCCTGGGTAAGATGTCTAGCGCGAATTGGGGGCGGTCTGCGCTTTCAAAGTAACAATGCAGCATAGCCATCATCGTCTTCTTTGGTCTGGTCTTCTTTAGTATGCAAGGCATATGTAAGTTTAATTGACTTTGAATCAGAATATCACCAACATAAAATCCTATCCACTGAAAATTACTGAAAATTACTGGAACCATAGACTACCATGGGAAATCAACAAACCCAAACTCTTGCCCTTCTCGGTATGGTGTATTCCTTATTTTGGCCAATAGGATATAACCAGGGTTTTCGTGATAGACCCGGGTAATAGTGGCTACTACATATCTTGAACTGCCCTGACAGCGTGGCTTGCTCGAGGGGTCCGGGCTCTTGAAATACTGGGTCTTCAAACCCCGCGATACAGATGTAGGAACATATGTACCAACCTACCTCATACATGCATCGTAGGAATCAAAGTAACGTCAACTTACATAGTAGACTACCTAGATTAGATCAGGAGGCTCCGCCGTTAAATGAGCCTCCACCGACCGGTAGAGCTTGCCATGTTTACTAATGTACTTCGTAAGGCTACGTTATCTCGCAGACTTCAGCCTCTACAGTTTGGAAGTGGAGTTGTCGAATTATGTCCGCATTCGAATTCACGAGACATAATGTCTAACTCCGGCTTCATACCTAGGAGATAGTTGGTTACTCTATAAGCATTCTGAAGGAATCCCGCTGCTAAGTCTGTGCCGTGAACATACCTTCAGCTTCAGCTTGTCCGGCGAGCTGTTCCTACCTATAGTTCTATTGCATGACGATTACTACATCCTTTTAAATGTTATAAATTGCGAGGCCTTCAAGCTATCAATTAGGATGCCATGATTAAGCGTTCATTTACAAGCCACCAATAAGAAGAGCAAATAAGGGCAATACTTCGCAGGGCATTTACATAGTACATATCTAACTAGTTAACTTAATATATTTAGTAAGTCTTATTCTAAGATCTTACCTATGTTATAATAGATGTTTTTGAATTTAATCATCAGTTATCTTGAATACCGACTTGCTTACATAGCTGGAACCAATAAAATATACGGAAAGGGGTTCCGGTCAACTACCTAAGTAAATATTGATAGGATATATGTAGATACCCGCAGACATCACGCACCTGGTAAACAAATGGAATAGGAGAACAAAGACAAGTTATGTACTGCGCATTATGCATTATATGCCGTTATGTAAGCCGGCATATGCCAGTCGGTAGGACCGAGGGTCAAATGCAAGCCAAGCTTAATCAAACCCAATTCGCGCTATTCCTAACCTCGGCGTACCCCGAAAGTTTACGCTAAAGCAACCCACAACGTCACCACCGCTACCGTAACTGGCCAGCTTCCCCAGAATCGTTCAATCTTCCCGCCATTTTCTAAGCCTCATTAAACGTTACAGATAGTAACAAAGCCACGAAGATCACGACAACAACAACACATACATGCGTTCGAAGTCATGCCATGAATGACGACATCACCATCAATAGAGAATCTTGAATTGTGAGTATCGTACTACCATGTGGCTGCTCAGATGAGCTCTACCAATTTCGCCCAAGCCCAGCAGCGGTTGGCTGCGCGTCGACAGGCTCGCGAACGAGAAGCCCAAGCTCGACTCGACGCTACCCGCCAAGCATCGCGAGCCTGGACTGAAGTGACGCGTTTGCCATATCCATTGAATCGACTTGGAACTTCATCGCTATCAGTATGGGAAGTAATCTCGTCACGCGAAGGCACGAGACCTGCCTTTCGAGTCGGCCAAGTCGACGCTGAATTATTAGACGAAGACCTCGTAACCCAACTACGCGATCAGGTTGGCGAAGCGCTCAAATACTTCGGAGGTACCCTAAAGGACGACTGGTCAGCCGAGATTCTGCTTATTCTTCGTACAATACTTTTCAAACTTACGGTCTGGGATCATGATGCGACCTATGGTGCGGCTCTTCAAAATCTCAAATATACCGACGCGAGACGCGATGGGCTGGTATTAACCCCTCCCAGTAAATGGCAGAAGAGCCTCTATGGTCTTATTACTGTAGGAGGGAAATATGGTTGGACAAAATGGGAGAATTGGTTACTGGACCGAGACAATGGATATGATCAACCCTCGCCGATGGTACGGAGGCTTGGCAAACTCACGTCACGGATCACTACTCTCCATTCGGTAGCTGCCTTCGCCTCGTTCCTCGCCTTCCTCTTGCATGGGAGGTACCGAACAATACTAGACAGGGTACTGAGGATGCGTCTAGCTCCGCCCACCAGTCAAGTTAGTCGTGAAGTTTCTTTCGAGTACCTCAACCGGCAGCTGGTATGGCACGCATTCACCGAGTTCTTACTCTTCGTCCTGCCCTTAGTAGGGATTAATAGATGGCGTAGGTGGCTTGGTCGCACATGGAGGAAGACCAAAGAAATCATCAATATCAGCAAGGAGGGTGATGTCAACGAGAAGCGAGGCGATTTTGCGTTTCTACCCGAACGGACATGTGCCATTTGCTACCAGGATCAAAATTCGGCTGTCTCGGAGACCGAAGTTTTGGCTGCAGCCGCCTCAAGTGGAGTTGTAGGCTCGGCGCAGACGGATATCACGAACCCATATGAGACGATCCCATGCGGCTGCATATATTGCTTTGTATGCATTACAACTAGGTTGGAGCGTGAGGAGGGTGAAGGCTGGGCTTGTCTACGGTGCGGCGATCTAGTAAAAGAATGCAAACCATGGAACGGTGATGTTCTAGAAGAACAACCGAAATCATCAGCACCAGCCACGAAGCGCGTGGGGTTTATCGATGACGAGAAACCCGCCCCCGGCCCCCTAGATGATAACGATGACACCGTTCATGAATTTCAACAACCAACACGAGAGGAACAGCTCGAGTCAGCGGGGTCAGATTCTCCTGAAGATAATGACTCGGAAATATACGAGGAAGAAGAGGCCGGGGTGGAGGAAGGGTTCGACGACTAATCGTCGATTTCTGTGACACATGGAACTTCTGTACGACATAGTTCTACCACACTAGAAGAGCCTACGGTCCAAGCAGCAAGTCGTTAACCGCCTCCAAGCGCTTAACGATGAGCGCTAGTTGAGACACGAAACCCGTATCCTTTCGTCTGGACCTTCGTCTTCGGCGTATGAATGGTTGTCTATCATCATCACGTATCTTAGGAGTCGGAGGTGAGATAGCCTATTGAGTAGCTGTACGCCCAGGGGTCCGGCTCAGTAGGGCTGCAGAACAAGTGGAGAAAAGCGGGAGGCGTATGCGATTCCAAATCGATTGAAGATCTCACGTCCCGTATCGGCGGGCTCAGCATACGCCGCATCTGTCGCACAACAGCACAATCTCATCAACATTTGTCTGTGGAGCCCCATTCAGCCCTATGCTCCCACCTACAGGTCTAGGGCGTACCGACGCCTTGGCGATTTATGTTATTTTTGTTCTCGGGAGATACTATACCCCCTAATCCACCTTAATATTCGGCAGGTTTAGGCGCGAGGTTGCTTACGTATGTGACGTCCTACTGTTATGCCTCCTTTCGTCTGAGGCAAGCCTATTTAGACGACATCAGGGTTGTAATGAACTCTTACTATAGCTACCTACCTATATATAATTTTTCTACCAATCATTGTTCATATCATCTTCCGCTTTCGTTGCCGACCTGCGTGAAGAATATTCATTTTGTCTGATTGGTGATAGGTATGATATCGTATCTTAAGTACGGATTTTATAGGTTCGGTATGCAAGGTAGATTATAGCGTCTTAAATTCCGCCTAAGCATCGGTCGTAATTCCGCTCATCTAGGCGGAAGCTTATCCTTCGTGATCACTCCGCAGATGACAGGGCGTAAGCACCATGATTTTCTTGGGTTCGTCACCCCACGGGTAAGCAAGATTGGGAGATCGGGTCAATAATAGCCCACAGTTAGAAAAGTACCTAAGACAGCAGTGATAAGTCTTTGGGTGCCATTCCTTCGGGTCAGGCTCGGGATAGCGTTGTCAAAACCACCGCTGTTTGCTATGGAATCAAATTTGAGATATGACCCGGGAGACATGTATTGTCAATCTCAAGCTTATGTGGCTCTTCTGCTGACCTACATTATGACTGGACCAATGAATATTCATATAATTACTGTCACACGTATGATCTTGACTACATCTGTAACCTTTTAACTTAGTAGAGACGCTCTTCTCATTGGCGTTCCTGTTAGTTTCGATCATGTTGTGCTAGGTTACATGTTTTCCACTATAATAAGGCTTGTGTAACATAGTAACTATTCACATAGCTTATCTAGGACTTGCAAAGACTTGGTCATGATCGCTTTGCCGTAGGTAGACGCGGTCATTAACCAGGCTAACCAATTACAACTACTTCT